AAACTGCCTTGATACTTATAGGAAGGTTGCCTTGTACTCAGATGTCGCTCAAGGTAAAACTCAACGGGTAACTTTTGGTTGGGTAGTGCCATTTTTGCGTGATTTTTAGCTATTGCGGTAGTCCACTGTGGCCAAGGCTGTGGGTTGGCAAAGGACCCCACATAATTTAAAAAAAAAAAAAAGCTGGACTGAATCTACCTGTCTATTTCTTTTTTTATATATTAATAAAGCATTTATGTATCCACGTTTATGTTTAACGATCTAAATAAGTGCATTAATTCTTTTAAAGGAGGACCAGCAGAAATATTCTTCCGCCTGGCGGAAAGTCCTCCTCGCCCTCTTTCTTCTTGTATTGTAGCACGGCGAGGCGAGGGGAAAGGTCTCCTTTTGCGCCGGCTTCTTCTGAGAGGATAAGCCGAGAAAATCCCCATTCTGAGCGACGGGCGATGGGTGCGGCAGCACCGACCTCGTGAGTTAGAAGTAGCTTCAGCTCCTATCGCGTAATCTGCCCCATTTTTTGGTGCTCACCAAGCCTAGCTCCTCGGGTGTCGGTTTTACGGAGCTGCAAGGCTGCGCCCGCGCAGTCACCGAATTGCCGCTTTCGAAGGTCTTTAGTTTAGCCCGTGGCAAAGTAAACGCATACTTGAGAGCTGCGATGCATCCCCGCACCCATTGAAGGAACGTTTCGTAGATATTTTCGGTTGATCAAGGAGCTCAAGACACATGCGCGAAGAGTGGTGACTTGAATATGTAAGGATGACTCACATCTTCACAAAACATTCCATCTTCAAGAAAAAACGGCTTATCACGCTCAAACCTGCCTCAAATTGGGATCGATTGAAAAGAAAACGATGTACCAGGCGCGGGCATCTTCTAGAAGGTCTCTGCTTTCTAGGAGCGAGCACAAATTATTGAAGAACTTTAGCAGACTATGTTTTCAGGCCACGCTATATTTAGCGGGAGCTCGCGCTGCCACTTCGATGCATTCTCTGAAGCGCGCGCCTGAAGTGGCAGCGGGCCTTTGAAAACGATTTACTAAAATGCCCTGTTGTGTGCCTAACTCGCAGAACATGATGGCCAGCAAAATGTATGAAATTCATATTTACACATTCCCAACAAGCACCTGAGGTGAGACGGCATCAAGGGTGGATGTCAATTTTAGAAAGTTTTAGTGGGTCGCTTTTAGCCACTTAGATAACCCTATACGGTCCGTACCCCACAACGAAATGTAAGCTAGACTCGCTGTTTACATTCTTCATCGAGTGCGGCTATGGTGCGAAAAGACAATATTAAAACCCTTTTTGACAAGTCTAGCGTGTCGTGTTATGGTTCAACGTTGCTTGTATCGGTACCATAGCACGGACCGCCACTTCGAAGTATTTGCGGTGTCTCAAAGAAACTAAGGCAAAAGCAGACAATTTTTTTTTAACGTGACACAGAATTGTATTTAACATTGTAAAAAAACTTTTAGGTACCCTACGCTACGCAGTTAGCACAAACTATCACCGGTGTTTCCCACTTTTCTTTTTTTTTGTTAGAAGAGAACGATGTTTAGGAAACTGTTAATGCGAGTATCCAACCTTAGCGGTAGATTTTAGTGCGAGTCGATACATTGCTGGGGAAAATAGCAAAAAGCGCGATGTCGTGCTTGCGCTACCAGTGTCGCGTAATGTACGCATACCGCTGCACAATCAACGCTAACATAGTAAATCGGTAAATTTAGTGGCCCCCAAAAAAGTGGTGTTATTTTGTTTTATTTTTATGTATGAAAAGTTGTTATTTTTAAACAAGCAATTCGGTAAAGAGTGCTTCCGTTGGGCACCAACTTACGAGGCATCAATTTGTTCTTATACACTAAATTGTGCATGGCCCTTGCGTAAAAATGTCAATATTGTGTTTCGTGCTAGCTGTGTCACGCACAGTAAGAAAACAAGTTCATTGCTCGAATATTTAAACAAGGCCTTTCTTACGCTTTCTTACGCCAAATAGACGTTTTGTGAGTGCGCTCTATTACTGATGGTTCATAAAATAATCTACGTTGTTTATTTAGAGGAAGGAAGTGGTGGTGAGGGGAGGGGGAATTGAATACAAAAGACGACTCAGGGAACCTTGAACTTTGTAAATATTTCGCTCAACCTATAATCCTGAGCTAATTAAATCACTTTTGCTTTGTCTGTTTTAGAACTTGTTAACAGTCGCGCAAAAGGCCAAGATGAGCGAAAAGTCAGATGCCCCTGTTTATTTGAGCAAGAAGCTTATTTATGCGAGATAGAACTGAAAAAGCGTACGTGTGTAACCGTAGCAGTCTCCGACCAAGCCTGAACCTCACTTTTTCGCCATTTCATCGAAAGCCGTTTCACCGAATGAACGGACACTTCATCGAACGCCGTTTCATCGAACGCCCTTTTATCGAATCGCCAAGGGCCGTTTCATCGAATTTCTCAGTTATGGCTCTGTACCGAGTTTTGGGGCATAACAGTGCTTTATAGATGTTTCACCTTGCATTTGTTAAGACTAAGGTAGTCACTTGAGAAATTGTTTTGAAGGTGGTGTCAAATTACTAAAAATAAAAGCACTTGGCATAAAAAGAAATAAAAACAATTGGGTATGCGACTTACTGAAAAGCCTTACTCATGTACATATATGGCTGAAACCACGACGCTGCAAATAAAGGACAGACACTTAAAACACTTTTAAGCGTCTGTGCTTTCTGTTTTTGCCTCATTTTTAATTGTTTCATGTGACATGGAGAAGGGTCATTGTTTCATGGAGGCTTTCTTCTCGAAGCAGGAAATGTTCACGATGGAACTTATCTCGCCACTGCACCCAGTGATATAAAAGCAGAAACAAAAGAAGAAAAAAGAGAGAATGAGATGAAGTTGTGTATAAAAATTAAAGTAAATTCCAAAGTATTACAGACTGTAACATTGTTCGATGAAAAGGCGTTCGATGAAACGGCTTCTATGAAACGGCGTTCGATGAAACGGCGTTCGATGAGACGGCTTCGATGAAACGGCTTCGATGAAACGGCATTCGATGAAACGGCATTCGATGAAACGGCATTCGATGAAACGGCGTTCGGTGAAATGTCCGGACGCACTTGTAGCGGTACGCGTGCATTACGTGGCACTTTTAGCCCGAACGCGACATCGGCGCTTTTTACTATTTCTGCCCAGCAACATGTATTGTCTAGCACTGAGCTCTGCCACTTAGGTTGGATAGTTGCATTGACAGTTTTCTAAATATAATTTATTTCTAAAAAACAAAATCAGAAAGACCGGCAATAGTTTGTCCGTGCTAACTAAAATGTGTTTGCACAGACAAATTACAAACGCGTATTATGTTAAAAAAGGCTACAGTTGATTTTTTATTTTAATGCCTCAGAAATACTTTAAAGTGGCAGCACGTGCTATAGCGCCGATTTAAGCAACGTTGAACTATAACATCAGACGCTTCGATAGCTGCACTTGATCAAGAATGCTCACAGAAAGGTTATAGCTTATAAATTGTTGTAGGGTGCGGTTATCCAAGAGCTAAAGACGATCCACTAGAACGTTTTAGTATCGACACACACCATAGCTGCCCTCTCACCTCATGTGGTTGCTGAAATGCGTAAATATAAATGTCACACACATTCGTTGGCCATCATATAGTGTGAGTTACGCACACAATGTTTGTGCTCGCTGCTAGAAAACAGAGACCTTCTAGAAGATGCCCGCGCCTAATACATCGTTCTCTTCTCCATCGATCCCAATTTGAGGCAGGTTTGAGCGTGATAAGCCGTTTTTTTTCAAAATGGAACGTTTTGTGAAGATGTGAGTCATCCTTACATATTCAAGTCACCACTTCTCGCGCATGTGTCTTGAGCTCCTTGATCAACCGAAAATATCTACGAAACGTTCCTTCAATGGGTGCGGGTAGGGAGCCTTCATGTGCGCTTTGCTAGGGTGATGCCATCCTCTGTAATACCACTCGCCGACAGACCAGCAGCCATCTCGGCTCTCGGCGATAATCCGTGGGGCTTATAACCCTCCCGGAAACAAGCACCTTATCTCACAAGTTCGGAGCAGCGTTGTGGAACCCACGGAGGCGGGATTAGCGTTTTCCCCCCTCGGATGGGAGGACCGATGGACACAAAGGCCACTTTCCAGCGCACGGCGAAACAATGGAGAACCAAAATGGCGCCGGGGGAGGGTCTGGGAAAGGGAAACGGGCAGTTGGCATCGCCCTATGCGAAGCGCACATGAAGGCACCCTAGGTGCGGGGATGCATCGCAGCTCTCAAGTATGCGTTTACTTTGCCACGGGCTAAACTAAAGACCTTCGACAGCGGAAATTCGGTGACTGCGCGGGCGCAGCCTTGCAGCTCCGTAAAACCTACACCCGAGGGGCTAGGCTTGGTGAGCGCCAAAAAATGGGGCAGATTACGCGATAGGAGCTGAAGCAACCTCTGAGTCACGAGGTCGGTGCTGCCGCACCGATCGCCCGTCGCTCAGAATGGGGATTTTCTCGGCTGATCCTCTCAGAAGAAGCCGGCGCAAAAGGAGACCTCTCCCCTCGCCTCGCCGTGCTACAATAGGCTCCTTGCATTGACGTCACATTGCACACATTTGCACACCAAGTAAAAGGAGGAGAGGGAAGCTGCTTTTGTAAGAATTTTGAGTGACGGGTTAATCTTCTATAATCTTCTGGGAGGAGAATAGCGACGCCTGTGCAAATCCGGAAGGCACAAAGGAGGGTCCTGATAAGAGGGGAGCTCCTTCTCCCCCTCTTCTCTGGAGGGTATCGGAAATGACGTCATGTGCAAGGAGCCTATACAAGAAGAAAGAGGGCGAGGAGGACTTTCCGCCAGGCGGAAGAATATTTCTGCTGGTCCTCCATTTAAGTAAAAACAAAATACGCTAGGTTCCGCTAAAAGCCACCCAATTTAAACAAAAAGCCAACTACGTTTATCCATTATTACTGCTCATCCGATTGAAGCGCCTTTCTCACGCCGCGGCCATATTTTGCACTACACGTTGATCCGCTTTCTCACTTTTGCAGTACTCCGGATTATCCCGGATTGCATTCGCCGCCTCATAGTTGGTAATTTATCACGTTTCTTCCACAACCGGGACTGCTAGACGACTGGCCGCATCCGCACGGTACGGCTTCAAACACAACAGAGCTAGAACTAATTACTTGATAGCAGGGTAGTCGGTACGAGATGGTTGTCCTGACAGTCGATACCGCGCGTTCAAATTCTTGCTGGTTGCTGTTTCCTTTCAATTGAATTTTGCATTGAAGCCTGGTTCAATCACCAGAAAAACGTTTCATTAAGAGAGATGTTTACTTACTTCGCCACTTATTTCTACTAACAGGTGAATAGCGGCATCGGTGCGAACGGCGATCTCAGTGATGGACCAAGCCGAGATTGAGAGGCTTCGGACCGCTTCGTTTGACGATGTCACCAAGATCTTGCGCGAATATAACGAAAAGGCAAGTTTTCTTACGTTTAAGCCGCAAATCTACGCGTCTATAAAGAAATCTGGACTGGTGGTTGCATGGCTACGCGCACGAAGTTGCTGTAGTGTCATAGTCCGTTCTGTTCGTGAACCCATATGAGTGCCGGTGTGACATTGATGCCTACATGTGCTCGCTTATTTGTAGGTTTTATTTATGTAATATTTACCGCATTCGTAAATATTTCAGCCGTTTCACACCTATTGAAACGTGTGTCTGTTAGATCGTGTTATAAAAAAAAAATCAAAGTAATGCCGTCCTTTTGTCTTTATTTTATAGAATGCTCAGGTCTTCAAGTTCCCCGGATTTGAAGTTGCACTGAGAAAGGTATGACTTTTTGATGTCGATTGTACAAATTACTCTTTGTGCTGGTATCAACCTGATTCCCCGGTATGCATGGCATTCAGTGTACACACTGCTTTGACGTCCAACCCAACAGGCAGGGTGTCGAACCGGAACCGAACCGAACCGAAAACCGGAACAGAACCGTTATTTTTAGCCGAACCAGAACTGAACCGAACCGAAATCTTCGCCGCCATCTTGGAACTGAACCGGAAAAAAATATAACGGTAACCGGTTCATAACAATTCACGGTATTTTTTTTTGTTAGTATTACAAATTTATTATTTGGGAATAAAAAATTGGCACGTGTATTCCTCTACGTATTGATCAAATCATCATATACAGAATTGCAATGTATAATAAATCCTGGTTTTTTGCGGCTCTTTCTTATTGGCACTATGACTAGCCATGTGTCACATCGTCACGTGACGTCATGATGTCAAGACATACTGTCAAGTAATGTCACATCACGTGACCCCGTGACGTCACATGACTCACCGCGTTAAGTCGATTCAAATTGAGAACGTCGCTAGATCTATTAACGTTGTTGATACCGTGACGTCACATGACATCACAACTTCGCACTGAGAGTCACGTGACACCATGATGTACTCGATTGTCATGATCCCGAGTCGAATGCTCTGGTTCATGACAACCAGTATCGCCAAACATTCGGGTAACGGCTCGTGTTCAACTCAAAAATTATGATGGGCCCGAGTCCCACAAGAGCTAGAAACAGAAACAAACGACAGCGACAAGCCTCAGACACATGCAGCATGTTCGCGATGGTACCTTTATATGGCTTTGAGTTGTTCGGTGCTCGCGAAGTTTGCACAAGTGTTTACAAGCCTGCAACTGGTACCGTCGTGCGCAGGATACTCGTGTCTGAGCATAGCCTTCTTTATTCTACAAAGCCTGTCAAATCGCGAAATTCTCTGGTTTAAGGCTAGCCGCTGTCGTTTGTTTCTGTTTGTCGCTTTAGTGGGGCTCGGGCCCCATTATAGCCGAACTAAAACTATACCTGAAGATTAGCCCATGCTCTCTGCTTTGCCAACCCTGCGTATGACTATGATAAACATTGACGGTGCATATATTAGGATCAGATCACGTGACTGATAGTTCTAATTGCGAGTTGAGGAGGGGAAACCTGTTTCATTTCTTTCTTTCGACTGTCTGCCATTTCGCGGAGGGGCAAACTAATGGATGCTTTTGCAAGTTATCAACGTCAGGGATTACAACTTGGCGGTATTTATTGAACTTAAGGTAAAAAAAAAAAAAAAAATGCTGCACGACCCATTTTACATGTATGCACACCATTGAGGCTCCCAAACGTGTTTTCGTTATTGCTGAACTGCCTCAGAAAGTTGTACCGAGAATAGAAGTGTTAAAGGGTGTAAATGTGACGTATTAGTCCGACGTTACATGGAACTATTAGTGTGTACGGGAGGGATACCTCTAAAGAAAGATCGTAGTGGCCTCACGGGGATAGCCGAACGTTGGCAGCCGCTCTAAGTCTCACATGAGTGTCGTTCTCAAGTTCTCCAAGTTTCGATCGCCCTGTATTTTGTTTATCCTTCACAGTTTGGTGCAAAGTAAAAGCAAGGAAGAATTACTGTTAACAAGTGACACAAATATAATTGTCGAGTGAACACCACTCAGTACGGAGTAGGGAATCCCTGAGGAATAAAAAGTATCTTGAGGAGCAACTAAAAAAAGAAAGGGAGTGGGGAGGGGGGTAGTTTTGAAGCATACTGTTTCGTAAAGATTCCTCTGCCCCGCATTTTCGGCGCAGACTAGAAAGCGTCGTTTGGAAACGATAGTGACAGATCGGTAGTTGGTACAACTTTTATTTGTAAAAACACTCTTGCCAGAAAGCACGTTTTCGCCGTGCCAGATACTCGTGCCGTGCCTAACGACGATGCACCTACAAGAAAAATGTGTGCCTCTCAAATACACAGCTTGCACTGAGCGCAAAACTTTTGCAGCGTGCATTTTGCCCCATCGGATTTGATTTTCTCAGTAAGAACAACTCGCAGTGACAACCAGTATCTAGTGAGATTACGTCACGTGCAAACCATGTTAAATACTTCAGCTTTCTAGTGAAGTGCGACGTTCGCAACACCAGCAGTAGACGTCCAAGGTGTAAAGTTGTGTAGTATATATAGCAGTCTCGCGATGATATACGGCAGCCTAATGAGATGTTGGAGCACATGACTGATAAAGAACAGAGTCGTGAAGTAAGGTCCCAAAACAAGTGCACGTAAAACCTAAGGTAACATTAGCCTCCCGAGGTAGTATCTCGCGACGTTTCGAGCTGAAGCAAGCTGATGCCCAAAAGTGATTTATATTAGGAGTCTAAAAATCTTTGTTTGCCCTGCGCGGAATCTATATTTAATTAGGAATATCATTTTATGCATTTCCATGCATTCCTTTTTGCAGTAAAGCATTGTGTAAGGGATTATTTAGAAAAAATTGCGTGTCATCTCCTTATTTCTGCACATTTCGTGTATTTGCCTTCCGATATATCATGTGACCACAGTGTTTTTTGGCATACCCTGCAACCCAGTATTTTACACTGCAAAACAGCTAACAAAAGCACGTTACCGAAGACTCAACAGCTGGTGTATTTTCGAGTATCGTCCTTCCGTGTCGGTCTCAGGCGGTTATGTGAACTTCATAAAGTCCAATTTATCGATGATAATAAAAATATACTTAATTCCTGTCTGAAGATTTGGCAGCATAAATAGAAGATCGTCACCTCAAAGATATATAAGTAAATGCACCTTTAAATTATCTGAAAGATGTTCTGCAAATCTTTTCCGGCGCTTTTATCCTCAATAGACACGTTATAGGTGATTTGGAAAAGCTTTAAATAATGTTTTTTTTTTATTTTGAAGCTAATTTAAATAACTATATGTGTTCCTCACGCATATATAACTTCTCAAATATATAGAAGTTTATTATCGCGTTTTTTATGTGTTTTTATTATCGCCTTTTTTTACTGGAACGAATGGTGGAACTATGACGATTGCACACTTAAACTCTCAGAAAGTGTCCAATTAAGTAGCTTCCGAATTGAGTAGAGCATGAAATCCTAATTTGTTCTATTTAACAAAAATCATCAATTAGCGAGGGTGGTGCTTATTTGCAAATAAAATTGACCGGCATTTTGTCAAGAGCAAACCTCAAGAACCAGGCTATGCCAGTTTATCCAATATAATAAAATGTTCACATGGGTAAGCACTGTTTTAGGTCAGACTCGATCTCAGTACGAAGGTGCTCATAGGTTAGAGTGAACAATTTCAGCCACTCCTTTTCGCATGATTCGTCGCCCGCATCATGCTGCTGAGAGCAAACAACGCTAGTTAGAAAAACAAGCATTGCGATTGTCGCTTAGTGTTTCTATAAAATATAGACTGGAAGGACTTGTCCCGGGACTTTCGTGACATCTTGAAAATTATATTGCCTTGAGTTCAGTCGTCTCGTCATCATATATATATATATTCTGAAACTTATTCCATAAAACACATTTTATGGTGTATTTGGTGACGAACTGCCCATTTCATGATTTTATTCACTGTAATGAATTCCTTAGTTCAAGGGCAAAACCACGAATCAACATCTAATACTGCGATACAAAGTTGTAGGAATCACGGGTATTTTAGGCAACCTACTTCCCTTCGCGAAAACATTTCGATTCAGGTACAATGTATGTGACTCTGGCAAACGAAGGGATGTTGAGTCGTATAAACACGACGTTTTGTATGTTAATGTAGATTTTCCTTTCTCGTTGTGTAGGTATAAATAACAGAATTTTATAATTTTTGTACCTGAAAATAAAACTGATTGAACAAACGATAAAAAAAAAACTTTATACTGTAAACGACTTATTTTTTGTGGGCTCAATATTTCGCGATTTAGGTCAAAGCTGAAGTTTCGGAATAATTCGCGGGTTGAAATTTTCTCGACGCGGTGGAATCTCAATATAAATTTCAATCTGTTTACATTTTACCGAAGTTCTTCGGGGACCCATTTTTCGCGGATTGTAGGCGATTCGCGAAATTCTCAAAAATAAGTCCTCGCAAAAATCAGACCGTTTACAGCAGTTAGTTTCACGGCCTAAATAGTGCATATTGACAGAACAACGCGGAAAATATATTATCAATTTAGCGGTTCAAACCGGTTCGAACCGGTTTGAACCGTTATTTTTTGCGCCCCGGAACTGAACCGGAACTGAACCGAAAGCTGTGAACCCGAACCCGAACCGAACCGATAAAAATATCGGTTCGACACTCTGCCAACAGGACCTTTGCTTCAATGGACGCATGTTAGCGAGCAGAATAAATTTATTTCCGAAAGAAGTCGGTTGCACTAGAACTTTTACCCTTTTGGCAGTTACAGTGTTATGCTCTTTTGCTGAATGTGAGCTGAAAGCACAAAACTCTTACCAATGACTTAGCCAGCAGAGGGGGAGGGGAAGGGGGGGGGGGGGGGGGGCTGGTGCGTCCGTTTGTTCCTTCCCCACCCCCTAGTAAATATAAAAATAAAAATTGCCAGTTATGCCACTGGCTCCTAACCTATGCCAAATAACCTGTCGATATTGAATAATATTATGCTTGCAGAAGGGGAAACAAGCGTCGAGGGACCAGGAATGCGCATAGTGCCATAAATTATTTAATTGAAGAGGGCAGTACTACCTTGTAAAAAACTATTACCGATCTGCTAAGGAGGCAGGGGAACACGGCGGAGCATTGGTGCGAGGGTTAAAAGAGAGAAACTCCGGGTCTTGTGGGATGTGCTAGCTACTAACAGGTACCGAGAAGTAACCAAAGGGTCATCTCAACAGCAGCGGCGATCTCAAAGGAGACGTCAAACCTAGTAGAGTGGCCCCCACATCCTTGTGGTAATATAGACAATGTTTAGCGGCATATTACCGTGGGTCGGTTCGATGAATCACCTCCATCAGTGCCAATGATCGATCACCTTGTCTGACTATCTCAAATATAGTGGAGGAGAAAACACACGTACCAGATTAAGGACTGAGTCCAAGAGCATTTATTACAGCACTGTCAAGAATAATTACTATGTCCCCATCCAAAATGCCCCCCCCTTTCCCTGCCCCCCCCCCCGGCTGGCATGGAAAGAAAAGGGGGTCCCTATCAAAATGCCGAAAATCAAAAGGCCAAATTTTAAAAAGCCGAACGTCAGTACACTGAAAAATTGAACTGCCGAAAAATCAAAATTTTGGAAAGACTTACCACCAAAAACCATGTAAAAAAAGAAATGTCGCGCTTTGTGACTACCACTTGTTAGTTTTCTGCGAGACCACTTTCCACTGACACCAACCTGTTTAACTCGTTCTGCAAAGGCACCAGTATCAGTAGATTAACCTGATGTAAAATTTCGTATTTTTCTATCTGTCGTAATGCTAGGCATATCAGTCGGACAGGACAGCTCTTATTGGTCAGCAGAAAAAAACAGCGCTGTTCAGTGTTCAGAGTACAAAAGCAGCAGCAATGTGCGGCAGTAATCACTTCATTGATTCGGAGAGAAATGGACGAAGATGCAGTTGGGGTGTACTCCCAGAAAGGAAAAGCAAAACTTAGCTGCAAAGACGGTTTTGTTTACATGCTTGACAAGAAAGTAGGTTCTAGGCACTATTGGAGGTGCGAGAAGCGAGGCGAATGCAACGCTAGAGTGATTACCAACCTTCCCGTAGAAGGTACTCACAAGACCATCTCGAAAACGGTGACCCACTCAAGCCATGCTCCGGATATCTGCAGAGCTACAGTTCTTCGTGCTCAAGAACGGATCAAAGCGGCGGCCTCGGGCAAGGCACCCGTCAAGATTGTGCAGCAGGTCACGGCAGATGTGGCAGCGTCTTCAAGGCAGCACCTTCCAAGCGCTGAAGCCTTGCGCCAGATTGTGAGAAGGAAGTGGAAAGCGGACTGCCCACACGAGCCGTCTGCCATGCAGGAGCTCATCATCGAGGGCGAGTTCAGAACAACTTTAGATGGCCGGGAGTTTCTGCGGTGCAACTGCACCAGCGCAGATGGAGCTTGACTCTTAATTTGTTTCACGGATGAAAACTTTAGGAAACTGGTTGATGCTCCAACGTGGCTCATGGACGGAACATTTAAGACTGTGTCGCCGCTCTTCGAACGGTTATACACAATTCACGGTTATCTTCATGGCCACGTGTTCCCTTCTTGTTTACTTCCTAATGACTCGACGAACCCAGATGGCATACGAGGCGCTCTTCGAAGTAGTGCTGAACTTTGCCGCAGATATGGAACTTGCACTAAATCCAAAAACTGTGAGTACAGGCTTTGAACTGGCATCAATCAACGCTATTCGGTCGTTGCTCCCGTCGTCGGATGTGCATGGTTGTCTGTTCCACTTCTGCCAACCAGTATGGAGGAGAGTGCAGCACCTAGGACTGGCAGTGCTCTACAAAAATGATGTAGGTGGCTTTGCCATCAAGGTGAGGCAGCTTGCAGACCTTTCATTCTTCCCCACCGAAGAAGTATGAGATGCCTATGTCTCCTTGAAACCACTTTTCCCGCAAGAAGCCTCTGACCTGCTGCGATGGTGGGAGGACAACTACCTGCTAGGGAAATCACGCCGCCGTGTTGCTAGAGGTAACACCGCCGTGATCATACAAAGTCCACCGGTATTCCTTCCATCCCTCTGGAATGTGCTTGCCCTTGCTCAGAACGGATTTCCAAGGGGCAACAACGCCGTTGAGGCATGGCATTGACGATGGGAGATATTGGTTGGCAGACACCACGCAAGCGTCTTCCGGCTCATCACCAACATGAAAAGGGAACGAGCTAGAGTTGAAGGCGACATTGAGGGAGCGACCAGAGGCCAACCCCGCCGCTCACCAAGCAAGAAGCGAAGTTGTGCGGAAATTGTTTGGCAGCTGCTGTGGGCAGCCGGGACAATGTTGACTTTCTATGCTTTCTTCGAGGAATTGCACACAACTTATCTGTCTGAAATGGAATAAACGAAGAATCGCTCTGCTATAGGATGAGATATGCAGACATATATTTTTCCTTTTTTGAAGGCTTGAACCATGCAAAGAGAAGCTATACTGGGGCACAACCTTTCATGGCTATTATAAAAGAGGGCAAAAGCGCGTGCACATCGGCCGGCGGAACCTCTCCACTAACTTTGATCACATTGCCAAGAAAATTTGTCTTGCCAAGAAACTTTATCTTCTGCTATAACTAGGTGATGCCAGCATTTTGATGTTTCGGCATTTTGATGTTTGAATGTTGTGACTTTTCGGCTTTTTGAATTTTCGACGTTTTGTATTTTCGGCATTGTGAATTTTCGGTGTCTAAAGTTTCGGCATTCCGGGCTTTTTGATTTTCGGCGTTTTGAATGCCACCCAAGAACAAGCCCTTCTTTACCAGCCAGACACGCGGGGTTCCAGAGAGCCAAGATCGGTGAGGCATCGGAAAAGTCGCCGACGCACGTCCTATTTCTTTCGCATTCACCGGACGAGTCCCTGTCTCGAAAGCAGGAAAACAAGAGGCGAAACCTCCTCGCTTGTCTGCTCAGCAGTGATCCGCATCCGAGCGGGGGGACGGAAAAAGGCCCCCTGGGAGAGAGTGAGAGGAGGGCCCTCCAAGACAAGGTACCCTCCGCTTCACAAACAGGTCGAAGCCCACAGCGAAGGGGGCTGAGTGTTCCGACCTGCGTCCGTTATTACGGCCATTGGGGAAGGGAGATGACAGGAAACCCCAGAGTCTTTATTTGTCACTAAAGCGTGAGGCCAAGCGATGAGAGTCTTATGAGAGTACAACCACCCTTTTTCTTTTTACCCTTGTTCTCGTTGGGTGTTGATTGCCAGCACTTCGTCCAAGGATGCCGCCGATCTTGTGTTTTCTCTCCAGAGCCTGGTATCGACGCTGATCACGCTCCTGGAACAGCCGGCGGGCGAGAACTGCCACCTGGCGTGCTTGGAGACGCTGCGCGTCCTGAGCCGTGACAAGGACCATCTGGAAGAGGTGTTCACCCCCGAGGTGCTGGCCTCGCTCGCTCACACGGCCGAGCTCACCGTCGAAGAGGAAGACGTCATCTGCGAGGGCTTCAAGGAGGACAAGGCCAAGGGTAAGCGTTGGCCAGAGCGAGGCACAAGACCAAGGGTAGCCAGACACATGACAAAAGCTGTAAACAAACAATTTTAAAGGAAAGCTCCAGCGTCAACTTAAACGTTTTTAAGTAAACACATTTTCTGGAGGAGCACGAGAAACTGAGCCTAGAGCAGCAAATAAATTGCCCCACAAATTTTTTAATAATTTTTAATCATAGAAATACGATATAACCGAAACCGAAACTAACCTGCAACTTTACTGGTCCGCCATCTCGTTGTGACGTCAGATGTTGCTTAAACATCAGCAGACGTGTAGCTCGAACCTGTTTCGCCCAGCGTCGGAAGCAGTCGAAAGGCTGTCGCGATTGTCTCTGGAAAATAATTCACTTTGATTCATCAAGCTTGTCTTAGTCAAGCAATGACCGCCAAATGTTTGAGGATTTTCAGCACGAGATTTCAGACGATTCACCATTTGCATCTGACCCGCCGGCATTGCCTTTGAGGAGACCTTCCGTGGGGGCTGCATTCGCGATCCGCCGACACGGTGACCCAGGTGCCGCTTCAAAGCAGAATGGCATGGAAGGTTTTATTTGCTAGCAGGGTGTGAATTGTTTTCTAGCACGACGAGAACGCTAGGAGCCAGCGTTCGTATCGGACTGCTCAGACCCACTTTCGTCGCAGAGACTTCTCGATTGGAAACCAATAAGACATCACTCTGCTGCATTTCTTTGTGGCGTTATTGCACCCTGCAGCCAATTACCGATTTCCCCTATCCTCCGTGGCGTGCCGCAAACGGCCTGAGCCATACGTAATTTGAAAAAATCATAGGCGCTCACTCTCACTGCAATGCACAATGCCATGGAGTAGGGAGCGCTGTCTGCTCTCGGATACAACACGTGACGTGCTCCTGCTCGTTGTTGTCAGTAGAGCTGCAGCAAGTGAAGTTGGTGGCCACAGTCAATTCCACTCATAAAGAGATTGGTCGTTATGTTTCTGTATTGTGCATTCTTATTCGTGAAACATGCATCTGGTCCGACGTAAGGCTTACCAGGGAGCCTCGGACTGCACTTGGATGCTCGAAGACTTGCGTGTGGCTCATGAGCCACACTCTGGCCACCTGTGTATGAGACGAATAGGCGGCCGTTGAGTACACAATGCGACTTTTCCCGCTTCCTTATGTCGTGCACTGCTAGATACCTTCGAAGTAAAATTAATTAAATGAAACTAAAAGGGGTTAGCATCGGCCAGATTCTGTTGTCTTAATGCAGTTTTTCTGCTGGTGGCCAATTGTTCTTTTTTAGAATGGAGGGGCAATCATAAAAACTGCTCCTGGAGTTTGAAGCTTTAATTTGGGGCACTAAATTAAGCGAATAATTTTGATGCCTGCCAATACTCTTTACAAGTAAAGTGCAGAGATTGTCGTGCTCACAGTAACAGTGTCGTGCAATGTTCCTTGAAAGGGCATGCCATGGAAGGGCATGCCAAGATTGAATAATCTCGGAGGGACGGTTTCTTTCCAGTAATTGTGGAGGCCCAGAAGGCTCTCTGCAACCTGATCTACAACAGTCCTGTGGTGCAGCGAACATGCAGGCAAGAAATTATCTTCTCTCTTCACCAGTAATCATTCTGTGGCACGTTTGTGGAGGAATGTTTCATGCATTAACATACTTCAGTAACAAACGTGTCAATGAATTTAATATTGCAATGCGTCACTGTAATTTCCATCAGCTTTAGTATGACTCGAGGTCACGATAGCAGATGAGCTCGACCTTGTGCAATTTGTAAAGTTTCACCACTCATGCTGCATTCCTAAAAAAAAAAGGTTGAATGATGTTTTTTGTTTTTTTCTACTCCCGCAGCAGTAACGGGTGCGTGGAAGGGGTCATGCTTCGGCTGAAGCTTTACGGCAGTCCCAGCTTACCACATGACGTCAAGGTACTTGCTGTTAAACGCTAGTTTGCCTGGCAGTATTTTTCACGCTGCTGCCGTCAAAGACTAACCAGAAAAAATGTGTTTCCCGTCAACTTTGCAGTTCTTCGACATGCGGATGCTTTTCCTTCTGACGGCCTTGTGTGCGGACACCAGGTTTGTTACGCGGCACTCCCCTCTTCCGTTTATTTCTGCATTGCATCAAACAGTTTTAGCAGCTTTGCTAGTGCTTTTGCTACTTTTGCCAGCTTGGATGACCCCCTCTTTTCTCTCATTGCTTTTTTTCTCCCTTCTTCCCTCCCCCCTTTCCTCTTTTGTTGGAGGATTTTCACCAACAGAGAGAGGTTGTTAATCTAGATGTTAGGGAACTCTTGCCGAAGTAGCAAAAACTTTGAATGTAGTTTTTATGTATTCAAAAGAGTGGCATGCAACTCAATGAATCAATCTGCTCTCGATAACTCAAAAAGCCTATAAAAGTTTGTAGAGCTGCCATATGTACTGTAAGATAGCTCCATGTTTTTAGAATCGGAGCCCGACCATTTTCTAATAAATGTGGTAGCCAGCTAAGTTAAGTTTGAAATATGAACCAACGCTATTCATTATGACTGCACTATTACCTATACTACTATATGTATGCCCATACTATTCATTACAGCTGTGCTATTACCTATACTTATGCCCAAAAAGTGCCATATAAAAACAAAACGACAAAGTTTGAAAGCAATAAAGCAAATGCAGTGCAATCCACTTAGAACGATGCCACATATAACGATGTACCATTTATAACGGAAAGTTTCTCGAGTTTCTAGACTAGAAACAATCAGTTTCTTGAGTTTCTAGACTAGAAACAATTAGTTTCTTGAGTTTCTAGGTTAGAAACAATCAGTTTCTATCTAGTCCAGGTACAATGGTAATCAGTTATAACGATTGAAATTTCGGGTTTTCTCATTGTCGTTATAAATAAATTGCACTGTAAATATTTTTTTAAATTGTTTTTACATCATGTGGACATATACGGCTGAAAAGAAAACAAGCGGAAAAGTATGGTAGAAAGGGGAAACGCCACGGCTGCCCGCCTACATGGATGGGCAATAGCTCCACGCATGCCTGTAAAGATGCCGACAATTGTTGAAAGTCGTAAAACCATTCACCCCCCTTTTACCGAAGGCACAGACAGCTATCAGGAAGACACAGCAGTCCTGTGTATAATAGTCGCGTGTTTCTGATTTCTTCCATTTCCCTCATATGGCTGCTTGCTCATGTGCCCGCTTAAAAAATTTTAACGATGCAGTCGTTTCTGAAGCAAACCTGCTCACGTCCTTTCTCTACTTGAGACTCCTCAGCAGATTTTAATGGTAATGTGTTGACAGTCTAAAATATATACATAAATGCTTCCCCCCCCCCCCCTCCCCCAACCGCACACAGAAAAACGTGCTGGGACAGACGAAAAACAAAAGTCAAATTACGGCCAGTTTTAGATACAAACCTGCAACCAGCCAGCTATCCAGAAACGCCGTATTCATTACAGCTGTTACTAGCTGCCCATGTTCCGCCAAATCAGTAGAGAACGCTGGCCAAAATAGTTCTGTCCATTCTATCAAACTAGAAGCTCTTTTAGTGACATACAACCATTGTTTGTGCCAGGCCACGCGTGCGTACGGAGCAGCATGGCCTGGTCTACTTGCGCGAGACGCTGGACCTGATCCTGAAGCTGTGCGAGGAGCGCTCCCAGCAGGAGCCAAGGACTACTCCGTCGCGGAGGGGGCGCCTCAGCCGCAGAGGCCGCACCCGGGCCCCGGAGCCGTCTTCCGACATGGATCTCGGGACGGCTCCGCTGTTGAACGCCGACGAGGCGGCCCTGGCTTCCGAGGTGCTCAAGGTGCTCTACAACCTCACCTGCGGCGTGGACAAGTTCCATGTGGACGAGGTGTGCGAATGTACCTCGCATGTGTGTGATTATGCGTGTACTCTGTGGGGTGGGGTTATAGTGAGCGTGATGTAGCAACGCACAAGTTGTTTGCTGTTATCATGAAATGTGGCGCAGACGTTTGTGCTCTACTGTTTCGTTATGTTACTGCATGCCAAGCTGGCGTGATGATGCGACTGTATATATAGATGGGTCGAAGAAACCATTTTAAGCAGTCGTCGCCCTGACTGTCTGACTAAGATCTTACAATTTAATCCCATCCAATTGTATTCTATCCGATTCTTGTCACCAACTGTGATACCTTTGCCAGATGGGGTCAGGGCACACCAGCTTGGCACGCAGTAACGTAATAACAAAACAGTAGGACATAAACGTCTGCTTCACTGCATCACATTACATGACAACAGCGAAATAATTACACATGGACTGTCTACTTCCCGGTTTTAACCTAAAAACGCCAATAAACATTTGCCAGCAACGAGAATGCAAAAATCGCTTAAAGGGGCCCTCCGGAGCATTCTGCGATGGTCTATTTATGGAGGTAACTCAATCTACAGGCCCTAAGAATCCTAAAAATCATAAAATTACGGTCATGCGCGGCGGATTTCCCTACTAAAATTGCTATCAAAGTCCCCGGCACGCCCCCCTTTCTAAGATGACCCTGGAAAACGGGAGGGGCATCTCTTTACGCGTCAGCCAATAGCAAGCGAAGGATTCCGGCGTCACCGCGCGTCACCAACGCGGACGACCGCCGACCCGCAGAGGAATCTCTCGAACACGCACGGACCGTCGTCAAGGAACCCGGACTTTGTGCTCGGCAGTCGTCGTTCGTCGCACCGCACCGTCGCGTTGCTACTGCAGCAGTCGCATCCCACAGATCACAAGGAAAAGTTTGACCCGTTGACGTGGAAGGATCGCAAAGCTGGCTTCGGAGTCGGGATCCACGGGAAGAAGGAACATGTGTCCCACAAACGCACGCCTGCAGACGCCCTGGGAAGCAGACGAGCCGACGCGCCGACGCATCACCCCCTAGCAACAAGCTTGTGGGGAGAAAACATAGTTCGCTGGTTTTGGAACGAGAATTACGGAGTATGTTTCCCGCACCACAATCAGTTTACGTTTTCCTCAAACTCTAATTTACAACGAGCTTAAAAAGTGTTGCAATAATAACGTTCGCATTCACCGCGAGATGCAGCATTTCCATTGGTCAAGTTTTAGCGATGGGCAGGGAATGGGGGATTGTCTTCCAAGAGAAAATAGTCCCGATATATTTCTTCTGCCATCTGCTTAATAAACGGTTTTGTAATCTAAAACTTTGTATACATATTAACTTGCACCTACTACGCAATATAACAACATAAACAGACGATCGCAGAAGTTCCGGAGGGCCCTTTGAAAGCGGAAAACACCGGTGGTTGAATATTTCCGCCCTCATTAAGGGGGGACACTGGCTAGAGGTTGAACTTTTGAACTACTCAAGTGATTGGAATGAAATTTGTAGGGGACATTTAGCTTCAGATGTAGGTGTGCTGTGCAAACTTTCAGTTCTCTAGGACAAATTTACATACCTGCATAAGATGATGTGTCACTCTTCATTAAGAAATCTATGATATGCAAATGAAGCTATTAAGCATCATTTTGACTGCTTGAGTATAAAGGGGGGGATATGGGACCTTGGGCTACCTAGTTTTAATAACTTAAACAAAAATATTTTAGGAAGAGTTATTACCTCAAAATATGAGATGCATATCTGTCCTCTGTCAATTTTTGAAAACTCAGTTTTTTATCACTGAGGACTTCAACTTAAAACAAAATAAAGTAGATAGCCCGATTCCTGAGTATATTTCAGTTCAGAAACATCTTGATTGTGGTATCAGAATACTTTCACCTTCGAACAAAAGATTCCTTCGTATGAAATTTGCAGCAAAAAGTGGAACTGAGAAAAATGCATTCAAATATTGAACTCCTTTACTTTGTTACTGCCTCATAATGTGTTGAAAATATTTTATATCAACGTAACTATTTGGCGTATGGTTATCAAATTTGGTGTAAGGGTGTATAATTAGTTTCTAAAACTAAAAATCTCAAAATTGAAAAATGAATTTTTTCAAAAAAATTTAAAATTTAGGCCCATGTCCCCCTTTAAAACCGAGAAACAATGGTCATTGTATGTTTCCCTCCTATCAACGGCTATTTTCTTCGGAACTCCTCCCTTGTAGAGCTTCTCCGAATATCTTTTAGATCCTTCATCCTTCCAGTGTCCGTTCAGTGGTCGCTGTGGTTCTTGGAGGACACTGCCAACATTGGTGTGGTTCACGATGGCTGACCTGGGAGAATGCGTCTCTTCAATATAATGAACCTTAATTACTCTTGCTATGGCAGCATTTATTTATGTTGAGAAAAGGTGTACAGAGCCTCATTTGTTTTTCACTTTTTATAACATTTCTTTTGTAGAAATACACTGGTGACAAAATTGGCGCAAAAATAAATAAAACAAATACATTGTTTTCTCCGATAATCACCGTTCTTAGCGTCGTGAGCCATCCACCCAAAGTACACTGGTGTTTCAAAACTAAATAAACACCGAAAAATATCCGCCACTTTTCTTATCAGTAAACACCGGAAGATCAACACCCTACTTTTGCGTCACTACAATAAAAAAAAAAATTTAAGTGTTTGCTTTTGACAAAGGCTTTTAATGAATAAATGAAAATTTTTATTGTTATTGCATTATTTACATTGCAGGACTCGTTTTGAGTGAGTAGTATTTAATTCCAAAACACGCCTTTGTTTAGACGTGGACATCTTGAAACCAAAGCTCCCAAACTAAAATGTGTTTCCCAACATAAATATTGCTTTGAGTTTTCTCTTTTTTTTTCTTTTTTTTTTTTATTGGGGTTGTTTGTTTTGTTAGGTAAGTTCTTTATTTAGTCGCATAAAAAAAATATTTCTGGCAAGTTCACTGACATTCTAACTCTTAATCATACCTTGTGGAAAAGCGTTCATTTTTGAGGGAGGGACAAGACAATTTTTATTGGGAGAGCTAATCAGCTTATGTCTTCCTTGACACACCAAAATGTAGCCAAAGCTGCTTTCTAGAAGAAAAAGGAGATTGGAATATAATTAGGGTGTGTACTTTCCGGTGTTTATTTGTGAGAAAAATCGGCGGATGTTTTTCGGTGTTTATTTATTTTCAAAACACCGGTGTATTTCAGTGGAACGTCTCACGTCGAGGCTAAAATCGGTGATTATCGGTGAAAAAAGCGATTGATCACAGACAAAGATTTCCAATTTTATTCACATAGTTCATACACTTCTTCTCTAGGAAGCAACTATTTCTCACACTTGGTTATTATAGTAGATGCAAGCATACTTTCATGCTTGCATCTACACGTTCCTTGCGGTTCGCAACCCGCATTTATGAAAACGCACGCTCCTGTACAACACGGACGTTGGCAGTGTCTTCCAGGAACCACAGCAACCTCTAAATACATGGCTTGCACCGACATCACTTGGCCAGACACAATGAGGAAAAGGCACGTGAGAGCCTACCCTCCATTGCGTTAATTTGTCCACAAAAGGGGGCCTTGTGAGACACTATGGGGGAAATGGGTGTAAACCCGTTTGTCATGTGGGCATTCGTCACAGGCCAACTGGTAATAGGCCCGTTCGTCACCGCGGAACATTCGTCATAGGGGAATTTGTCCCTAGGAACGTTTGTCACTGTGCGAACCGGATATTTGAATTTGCCCAACATATATTCACCTGGCTGAGCATGCAATAAAGATTAGTACGGTATATTTAATTTTACTAAAGAGAGGGAACATCAAAACAAGTCATCGTTGTACTTAGAAAACAACAGAATTATTGAGCGAAATAAAAAAAAAAATTAAAAAGCAATATTCTGAGCTACCACCCTCAGGGTTTCTAGACGATTGCGACCATTGTAGCGGCTCACAATGATCTGAAGACGCCGGTTGCTGTCGTCGTGCTTCTTGGACACCCTCGAAGATGTCGTGCCGCCCGCTACTTGAGCCAGCTTCATCTCTGTTAAGGATAAAAAGAAAAAAGAACACACACACTCGTGGAGAAAGTTTTTTGATTGGGCACCGTACTGAAATTTTGAGCCACAAATCCAAAAATGTACTACAGAAAACGTCCAAGTTCTCAGAGGATTAGGTCAGTTCTAACGTGCAGTCCCCGGAGCCGCGCTTTGATGCTGCTGTTCGTCCTTGTTGGCCTTTCTGCTAGTGTTGATTCTCTGACTGACCAAACCAGAGGAGGGGAGGTGGCCAACGACAAGCCGTTTCGACGGGGTCTCCCGATATACACGTCCTCGAAGTAGTCCGCCACGAGTGAGGCATCGGTGGGGAAAATCTCGAGAAGTACCTTGAAGGCCTCGGGAATGTCGGCGATTGGCAAGAAGGCCAATGCTGGATGCATTCCCATTTGAAAATCAACAAGAAATAAAGTAAGCTTACCTGAAGACAAAAATAAGACATATAAATAGAATGCCGCATACCAGAACAGCAAACTTGTCATCTGAATTGTAGCGACTCTGGTGACCACTGGAGCACACCTTCCTAGACACCGACTGGGATAAGTGAAAAAAAGCCTCCCTGTATCGTTGATGGCCGCTATCTTGAAGCCCGTGTAAGCCACCTCAAGGCAGTTGGCCCCCCATGTGACTCAGAACGACGTCGAAAAACCTTAATACGAGCGAACATATTTTGAAGTGTTTGAACACATATCCAATAATAGGACCACCGAGCGTTTCGTTTTATACGCTTATCAGAGCTCTTGAATGCTCACCTTTTGTAGGTAGCTTCAGATTTGTTGGGCAGCAAGCCGTAAACCATTGGCTTTACCACGCCGTTGACTGTGGCATGCTCCGTGTACAGTTAGTAGAACTGTGCCGGGGTCACTTTAAAGGTCCCGTCCGCGAACCACGTAGTCGCCTGAGCCAGACAGCTCAAGTTGCGCTCGGTAGCAAAGATCAGCATTCTTTCGCCGTCGCCCTCTCCGCTATCATGGAAGAGAAAGGAGTCTCCTTTGACTGTGGTCTGCATGCAGGTAAAACAGTCATTAATATCATAATATGTCGCGCACTGTGATTTTGCGCTGCAATACACTTTACTTTGAACTCTGGGCATTCGATCGTATGTCGGCTCTGCAAGATGATACGCTGTACTCGAAATTCGCCCGCTGCCTTTGCTTGCGGATGATGCGCCGAAGTGTTGGCGGTGCGGGAATCTGCAAAGCAGTGTGGTCACTGACACAGGCAACCGCAGCCAGAAGAATTTGGTGTGGTGCTAGACGGCCTTCCACTGGAATAAAGGACATTAGTGACCTTGTTTTGGGAATATAAGAGCAGGAACAGATTTTGGTACATACCAGCTTTTTCCTCCATCTGATGACGAACCCAAGCACGTTTATCTTGGTGTTGTCAAATGCATGCGTATGGTCTCCTGAACAAGAGATTACACGAGTCTTGGCGTGATCGGAGGCTATTTTAGTTTTACAAACTCCTCTTCGCCGGTAGGCCCAATAGAACGTAGTTTCGTAAACCTTAATGCAAGTGTAGGAATGTCCTTCGTGAAGAAGCATAGCGCCACCTTTCTTAGTAAGTAACTACCTCCATTTAGAAATCGAGAGTGATATTTTTATAATCGGAGGGCAACCGGCATAATAAGCCCTAAAACGAGGCATTAAAAAAAAAAAAAAAAGAATCGCGTTTGGTGGGCTTTTTTTTATTGTGAACTTTATGTTCTCGAAGTTCTTTTGTAAGAAAGTTGACCCCAATAAGACAACATGCAGGCTAAAGGCTGCAGGCTGCCTTAACTTGGGGTCATTGGGACATGCTTTTGTTTCCCCGTAGTAAACCTCACTGGCCTTGCATGGATTTAATAAAGTGGCCCCCTTTCGTAACTTTCCTAAGAAAACAAGATGGAAAAACAAAAAAAACGTTTAACAATCTTGAAGTCATTGTGTGACGAACTGCCAGCGTGACGAATCACCCAATGACCAATGTTCCGCTGTGACGAACGGGCCTGTTACCAGTTGCCCTATGACGAATCGACATGTGACGAATGGGCCGTATCCCGGGGGAAATGCGTACGAGAGCTTAGCTTCCACTGCGCTCACTATACGCTTTTGACCCCCAGAAAGGAGGGCGGACTGACGCCACCTGCAAGCCATGTATAAGCACTGGAAGAATGCAGGATCTGCGAGATACGAACCTCTACGGGGAAAGGGTTTCGCTAGGTCGGAAACTAGCACCAACCGGTGTTTTTCGGTTTTAACCAAGGCGAAAATATCCAACCACTGGTGTTTTTCGGTTTTAACCGATTTTATATTTTCGTCACCGACGAATGTTTATCGGTGTTTTTCGGTTAAAACCGGAAAATGCACACCCTAAATATAATGTATGGGAAACATTTTCCGAAATTAGTCGTCGAACTTGAAATTTATGTGAAATTCCTTTGAAGAAAACTGGAGTGCTCAAAATATTCGCCAAAGGTACCATTCTGGGGCCTTGCCTTGGGATAGAACCTTCAAAAAATCTTTCAAACGCGCAAGTTTCTCTCTTGTCCCTTTCCACTGAAGAAGTAAATCGCTTCATCAGTTTGGTTCACAATTTAAGCATAGCTGAGCTTTGCATTCGTCTACCCTTACAAGCTAAACAATTCTACCTTTCTCCCAAGTGTACATCGTTATCATCAGTTTTCTTGAGTCTATAGCCTATCCGGTTGCAAAAGAGGCTTTCTCATCTGTGTTTCAGAACGTTAAGACCAGAAAATTTAGTAACCTCTCGTATCCCATAATGATTTTTTTCTAGTTTCTTGTTTTATCTCAACACTTTTTGCAAACATTTTGTAACCATTGCAGGAAGAAAAGGTACTTTTTTTTTATGTTGATGCTTTTTGTAAACTTTTCATAACCATTGCAGGAGGAAGAGGTACATTTCCAGCGTTTGGTGGGCATTTTGCACGACCTGCTTCTATGTGATGTCGCTGACCCGGAGAGCAAAGACCAGCTGTGCGGGTGCGTCTGTTGCGTCACGTCTTCTGTTTTCCTTACACTGCTGGGGAGAAGGGGGGGGGGGGGGGGGGGCGGGCGGGCACCAGGTACAGTGCCTGCAACACTTCTCCGACCGCTCCGTTTACCACGTCTTCATTTGTGGCTCCTCGGTCTCAGACTCGCAACTTCATAAAAGTGTCTCGCTCTTGCCCGCCACGATCTTGGCGGCGGCAGAAAGGCATACGCAGCAGACGCCTCTTCTGCTGGAGGCCGTTTTCCAGCCAGACAGTCCCCAAGAAACTTCAGCAGTTGCGAGTTGGGATGCTGTGTCGAGGGCAACTCTTGCATTTGCTCGTCTTTTCTGCCAGAACCGCCGTGACCAACTTCCGGGATTGAGGCGGCGTACTTTCAATGTATAGGTTGTGTAGGAGGACACTAATTGCTCCGGTCAGAGACACTTTTTAGGCACTGCAGCGGTGGTTTCCGTGGTGCACTTGTGAAACTGGGGGGAAATTTTTGATGCAGCCAAGTGGTCCACCTCCTCTCCAATATGCCCCGATCGACGTACGAAGAGCTCCTCACGGAGGTGATTCCGGGGTCGGCTCCGATGGATCCTCCGGAGGAGCAGTTTGAAGGATTCAGCACGGAGGCCGTCTCGGCGTTAGTGGGCTACCTCGAACGCAGGCTCAAGGAAGAGGTCAGTCGTTTGGTTCACTGGACGCAAACTGAATCTTGTCGATTCCGGCTAATTGAAAAAGTTAAGTGCGATCGGCGTGGCCGGTCGTTTAATTCAGTATACCAATTGAAATTTTGATGCGTAGCATTAAGGAGCTCGTGTCGCAAAAAAGCCGGCGTCGGTGGCGTGACATGAAAATCCTGATTGGTCAATAGGGACATGACGTCAGAGCGACACAACTTTACGCGTGGAGTTTCAAACAACCCACAAGACTCGCGTGAAACGTGATGTCACGCGTGGAATGAAAGTGACTAAAAAGCATGACACGTAATACAAATTAAAGGTTGTCGCATATCTCAAATGCCTTCACTTTATAAAGTAATTATTTGCCTTAAAGAAAAAATTTGAAACATTTTAGGCGAAATTTTAATCCACGATTTTTCGGTTACGTGCCAGACACTCTACTTAATTGGCCATGTCCGCCGCACTTCCTCCTCACTGGCAGGAAGAGCATGAGATGCGAATGAGAAGGCGACGCTAGGTCGTTCTCAAGTTAGATTTCAGGTACAGGAATAATGCAAATGGAGGGACTTCGTGTGGTCACCATTGTGTATTCACAACTTGGTCAGAATCTGGTCCTCAAGGGACATGGATGCTGCTTATCTATGACAAGTCATATAACTCTGACATGAACTTTGTTGCTACTTTTGAAAAATTGAAGAAATGTTTTTTTACTGATGATTAATCATTAGTCAAATTTTTCTTTCACTTTGTATGTGTGCATGTCTCCTGAGGCCTGCCACCTGTTTGGGAGCTCAATGAAACATTGATTGATTGGTTGCTTCATAACTCTACTATCTACCTACCTTATATTTTGATTCTCCAGTATTTACCAAAACTATGAGAAACATGTAGAAGAACTTGTAATTGAGCTAGTTGGGGAACATTAGGAAACACGGTGTAAGGCGCAAAAAACAACAGAAAAGGACGAAGACACGCAGAGGCACCTGTGTGTATGTGTATTCTTCCTTGTGTCTGTTGTTTTTTGCACCTTACATCATGCTTCCTACTGTAAACATAAGCGAAATGTTATTTCCATAGATTGTTGTATAAAGTGGCAACTCGATCTTATTGACTGCCTGGCATATATTGTTTTTTTATTTTTAGTAACTTCTACATAAGTGCAGTAGAATTGACATAAATGTAAATGCAGGAATCCGTTTTATGTAGTGGGGTCAGGCCTACGCAAAATGGATAAGGTCCAATAAATGTCATTTTTCATTTTCTTAGTGAAATGTGTACTGTCACGTTCAGTGTGAGCTGAAACAATCTTGCACGTTTTGGCATACCTGCCAGTTTATGAGAGAGCTGTGGTACGAACTAGGCGCAGAATGCAAAGTCGAAGTCCAGTACTATGGACTTTTCGACAAATTAAGGCTGCGGTCCCACGGCAGCCATCTTGAACAAAGCGTTAGTTCAACCAATAGATGGCGACACGCACCCGTGGGGTGGCCGAAACATTGGTTCACGGAGGGATGGCTCGAGCACCATCACGTTCCCCTCGTGGCCTTGCTCGCACCGCTGCCAGCTGTGCTCAGCTAGCTCAGTAGCGTGGCCCAGCAAACGGATGTATGCGAGAATGTCAGGTTGGGTAGAAATTGTTCTCTGATATAGGGAGATGTGGTTCGGCGGTTGTAACGGGCTTTCGCAATAAATCTTACCAAGAAGGAATCAAATGTTCATTGACGTGTCAATATTCTATCAATGAAAAATTATTTTGCAGGAATGCACGCTCAGTAGACTCAATCTTCCAAGACACCAGTAGAAGCGGACGTCAAGTAAACTGCTTCGCGATTCACGGACGACTAAAATAACGTCACGAAATATTGTGCTTCACTGGGTCCGGAAGATGTTGTAAAGGTTGTTACATTTTAGTTCCCAGAAACTTTCTGGAAAGACTCGAAGTCTTCCTTGAGTCCAACGCCATCATGAACAGTAACTGAAAACGATCCACTATTCAGTCGGTGGGTGGCGAAACGTGATCCGCATCTGCGGAGCCATGGTCGATGCGTACTCCAAGTGGCTAGAAGTTTACACGATGCCTGCCACGACGTCCAAACACGTCATTGACGTTCTACGGTCTCTTTTACCTACTTTTGCCCTACCGAAAATACTTTTCTCCGATAACGCGCCAAATCTCGCATCACATAAAATAAACAAGTTTTTGAAGAAAAAAAAGAAAAACGGCATCAGGCATCACATTAGTGCACCATACCATCCTGCAACTAACGGGCAAGCAGAACAGATGGTGTGCAAAACAAAAAAAGCCCTTTTGAAGCTTACGGAAGAAGTAGTTCAGTGAAGAATCGCCAGGTTCTTGCTCCAGCAGCACGCCGACGGTCTCATATTACACGGTAAAAACACCCGCCGAAGCAGTATTTGGCGGACGAAGAGCCACACCCCTCGATCTCATGATACAATGGCCTACGAACGAAGATCGAGAGATTCCCAGATCGGGAGTAATGGCAGTTTGTTCGGTCGGACAACTCGTCTACGTGAGGAATTTCAGCGGAAGTCGGGCCTTTCATGTAAAACTTGAGTAGAAAAGACTCTATGTTGGTTGACCGGAAGGTGTCATCCCTCTGAATACGTTGGATATCAATGCCCTTGAGTGTAAATATAACTAAATCACAAAACTCTCTTTGTGTATTGTGTAACTGCCCTTGTATTTGATAGTAGAAGCTATGGTGGTGATTTGGACCTTTCACACCAGGCTCCTTTTTCTTATTTTTCGCCGCATACTCCTTTGCGGTTTGAGTATACGCTTCAATAATCTTTCGGAACGGGGACAGTTTACGTCAACGAGGCCATTTGTTCCAAGTAGTCAATCAGAGAATGCTGCTAGAAATCCGTCCCTCATATTAACGAATAAGCCGCACTTCTGCACAGTGCAGTTTTCCTGTTCCACGTACAGTTGTAAAGCAGCATCGTCATTGATTCTACCATATTCTATTGCGGGTGAAGAAAGGTCTTTGGGTACATGATACTTGAAGCAAGTCTAGCAATGTACGTTGTGATTCGACACCCACTAATGTCGTTGTCCTTATAGAGCCTCATCATTTAATTATTACCTCGTCACTTCATATTGCTCTTCAACAACAGTAAGTACAATAGGCTACCGCTTTATTACAATCCAAGAATTAGAAAATTGAGTCGTTCAGTCCTTCAATATGTTTATCGTTTATATAATGTTATTACGTTACATTACCTCGAGACGATCGACGCCCATCGTCAATCTTCAAATACTTCTACCTGTATATAAATTAGACGCACAAGGGGGGGGGGGGGTGGGGGGGGGGGGCGGGCGGATCGGTGGCCGAGTGCATGGTCTATACTCTGTTTCACTTTATGATGTACCGCAGTAAAAGGTAGAAGCGCGAGCTCCTTGCTCCTCGGCGGCACAAGCTCTCGTATGTAACCAACGCTATGAGCTCGCGCTTCTAGCCTTCTCTGCAGTACAACATAAGGTGAAATGGAGTATAGATGCTTTACACATGCGCCAAATTACAGCCGCCATTGCTGACCTTCTCTTGTCTTACCGAGATGCCGAGCAACTGAAACGGTAGTTGACGATACTCTACAAAGGCCGATGCCTTAGAAAAAGACACAGTTGAATCTAATATGGCAATTACCTGGCCTGCTATGGTAATGATGAAGTGAAATAAACGGAATAAGAGGAAGCAAAAACTGAAGGTCAGTTATGGCGGCGTCCATGCACAGCTGCTGCAAAGCGTCTATAGCGCACGCCAGCTCGGAGCACGTGGAGCGAAAGCTCGCACTGCAGAACCCTCCCCGCCCCTGCCCGTTTTGATCTGGAAGAGCATCGTACCGGCGTGCGGTCGTGTATCACTACGGCGTGGTGCACGTTAAACACCCCAGGTTTGCGGTTTTACCTCACTGGCTAAATTCTTCATCTACAACTGAGACACCAGACGCCCACTAAGGCAGACTAACTTCCGGTTGTATAAACATACCCACAACAATTAGCAATTAGACGCACAATCTCAAAGAACACAGCATGCCGCCTCTTTTCTTTGGATCGTATTTTTTTAAACCAGCGCAAGCTCGCGCGTTCTTTCTTTTGAGACGGTAAGAACGGTTGCACATAAAACCTGCGTTTTTCCTACCCGGCCGCTTCCTCCTCTCATCATGTGTAGTTGGTTATAACTAAATAAGGTATAATAATAGTGTATTATTCATATTTAGTTTCAGTTTCAGTCAGGGGAAAGGAGATTTGAGGGAAGTAGAGCTAATAATTGAGCTGCGCTTAGAGTATTGGCACTCTCTTCCCCGACAGTGTTGTGATTGCCGCCATTTTCGTGCTTGAGCAGAGCAGGCGCAATTGCCGATCGTCATGATTCAAAAGTGCAACATCCTCAGCATTAGATTCGGTGTTAGGAAGCTCATGTAATGTTGCTTTGCTTTGTCGCAAACTGTTTAAAGTGGAGGACGGAAAAGCGTTTCTTGTGATTTCAGATAAAACTTCAAATAACTGGCAACCATGATTTTAAGCCACAATATGGCCAAGTGTCACTACTCTGAATTGTAACTTATTTAATGACACTATTCATGCTCTTGTTCAAGAGGCTTGTAATACCTGGAGGGGCCATGACGTAAGCCCCGTGGTTCCACAAGCCACTACCTTTTGACACCTGCCTCTTCCTCATTCTTCCCGCTTGTGCCAGTTAATTATCTACAGTTCAGAGTAACGACACTTGGCCATATTGTGGCTTAAAATCATGGTGGCCAGTTATCTGAAGCTTTATCTAAAATCACAGGAAACGCTTTTCCGTCCCCCACAAATGTTTAAACAACCCGCGACAGAGCATTGCAATATTGCATCGGCTTCCTAGCACCGCATCTAATGCTGAGGAAGTCGTACTTTTGGATCATGATGATCGGCAGTTGCGTTTGATCTGAGCAAGACCCAAAATGGCGGCGCCCAAAACAATTTTGGGGAACGGAGTGCCGATACTTTAGAGCTCATTTAGTGACTCTAGGCATGAAGTGAACACAGGTGTATTCTTTTCTTCTTCGTCTTTATTGTTTATTGATTTCAATCATGTCGAATAATGAACACATTATATCACGCTACGCTTGTGTAATTATTTGTATTAGATTTATTAACCTGACCCAGTACTTAAACCATTCATTTATCGATAGTAAATCTTCCAATATATTTTTTAAATGTGAAGGTAAAAAGACACGGAGATTGATGATGATACAGACGCCAACGCCGCCCTCGGAAATTTTTTGAACATTAAAAATCAGCAGTTTGTCTGCCATCCGCCAGGTAGCGCAACAAAACACCCAAACAGTTTTTAATTGTTTTTAAAATTAGCTAAGCTCTACACCTATTAAAAAACGAAAGCAAGATCATTCTGAGAATCTAATACATCGCAATGTATATCTATTGCAAACAATACATGTTATTAGATGCCAATAAATCTGTTTGATGTCCAAAAAAGATATGCGTCAAAAACAGGCAAGTTTGAAGGGCTCCTGGAGCGTTATGACTTTGAAAATGAAAAAAAGCCATCGTCCACCTCTTGGGCAACCATTGTAGATCTAAATGGTATAAAAGATTTTATCGTAGTTTAATTATTTCCTCAGCGGCATTTGAAGTACCATGACTCGAAGCACAAAAAAGTGCTACGGTTGATATAAAATATCTAAACAAAAAAATTTTACACTACATTAAATTTTTTTTTGCATATTACCAATTATAAGCACTACATCTGTAGATAATTTCATTGTCCTAGCCCTTGTCATTAAAAAAAATTTGTGCTGAAAAATGACAATTTTAGGGCAATATTTGGAGGGATGAAAAAAACAAAGTAGTGCAAATACCAAAAAAGTGTATCGTTACGTTCTGCTCCGACATCATCTTAACAAAACTGCTATATTGGAACCGTGTTATCTTTAATGGATCGTTCATAAAACATGAACTAGCGGAGCAAGTTAGGGTCCGCGCCATCATATTCGCAACGCTACAAATGCGCATGAACAGTAAACACCAACACACACATAATATCAAATGAAAGAGGATTGCATTACCTTTCGAATGACATCAATCCCACAAAACAGTATTTAAAAGGAGATGAGTAATGACCTGCCAAAAAGTACCTAAACTGCCACATTCAGTGGGACCGTGGCCTTAAGAGATAGTAAAGCTTATGGGGACCGCAGATGCAGAAAAAGGCCAGATCGATTGCTTCGGGTCATACCGATTGTGATAGTGCATATTGACGTATTACCCCACACTGCACCCAAAAGCGAGCATTAAAACTAAAAATTCACCTCTTTCGTGCGTGAAAAAAAAAGAAAAAACGAATGCCATTTGCTCACGGTTGCAGGAGCAGAGCCCAAAGGGGCCCGGCGGTCACCGTACCTGCCCCAAGGACCAATCACAACGCCTCAGCCCCATCCTGCTCTGCCTGACGGAATGCGCCCGGGGACACCGCACGCTGCGACGATACCTGCGCTCCAGGGTGGGCTTTCCCCCACGCCACACTTGAAAAAACCGCCGCGAGTTCTGTCACCTCATAACTCCATTTCTGACTGCTGCCCATTTTCAATTTGGAACTTCGTTAGTGGACAGGAGGTCTAACCGTCATGCCCCTAGCCAACTAAATCTGTAGAAGCAGCGATGGCAAAGATTGTTTGTTTGTGTTTCTGCCGTAGCCGAACGTTGCGTCAGTGTTCGGCTGAGGCTCCTTTTCGATCGATGAAGCGTCGATTGAACGCGACTGCCGGCCAAACGCCAACGCACTGTTCGGGTCCGGTCTGCACCCCGTGCTCGATCGAGGCAGACGACGTAAAGAATCCAGTTCATGGGTCTTGTGTTGCACAAACACCAAGCTCGGTAGAAAACAAGCTGGGCAAACTGCCTCCTGTAGTTCAGTCTCCTCGCCTGTACCAGACACATTTCTATAATTACTCGTGCACTTTGCAATTGGTGCATGGGCTATTGAAGTTTGTGTATTAATGGGAACAGAAGTTGTAGGTACAGTGGTATACCATCTTAAGGAAGTTCTTGCCAAGCCTTTGTTTGTTGGGGCGGTCCTAGCACTTTGATTGAGCGAGAGATTTCTTTCGGCAGGTGCTGCCACCACTGAGTGACGTAATGACTCGGCCCGAAGAAGGAGACAAGCTACGCAACAGGTGGGGTTGGGATCTCTCTGCCGTTCTCTCTCTGCGCCATTCTTGGATATTCTGTCATAAATTATGTTGAAGCCTTTCGCTTAGGTCAAGGATTAATTTGGCATTTTCAGTTTAGGAAGTGTAATTGCTTTGTAGGAAACTTTGCTGTAGAAAAACCAGTGATCCAAGCAGGCTCTTATTTTCTGCAGGCTTGTACGTCTCATGACCTCTTCTGCCACGGATGTCAAGAACCTGACGGCAGATTTCCTCTTTGTCCTCTGCAAAGAGAAAGGTGCATATTTGCTTCTTCTGGTACATTTTCTGCTTGATGTGGCGGTCGGTGTATCTTTGCGAACGTTGTGCTGATTCTGAGCCACAATCAACATGGCTCTGGCCAGAACCTCTTAAGCTTCTGGCCAGAGCCATGCGACTTCTCAGCGCCACCTCCGTCTTTTCCGCACCTCCAGATGTTGATTCATTTTATAAATAAATGCATTCTATAAATAAATGCAAATAAATACATTCTACTCTTTCTCTTTATCTGGCAAGCTCAAATTGGACAAAATAAAAAAATGTTTACCAAGTCCTGGATAGTAAATAGATTTTGGTCATGGGTTTGATGTATTTAAAGTTTGACTTATTCCTCCCAAAGCCGACGGGCGAGTTGCTCTTTGCATCATTCAGTGCTAGCGGTCCGACAAAAAAGCCTGGCGGCAGCTGAACAACTGACTAGATATTCACGGGGCCAATTTTGTACATTCTGCCGACTGAAGTTCCCGTCAAACCAGCCAGAACACAAAGAGGGAGGATGACGCCCTTACATCATTAGCGAGGTTGAGCCATTGAGCAGGAAGACCTGTCGGCAGCCGCCAGGCCCAGCGTGGCCTTTCTCTGGCTCGCGCCAAACGCCGTCCATGCCCTTGAAGAAAATCGCCAGGCACCCTCCGATAACTGTACTATGTGCAGCAACGGCGGCAGGGTAATCCAGAAAAATCAAAAGCACGAAACTGTTTTCTTTTTTTTATATTTTGAGGAATTTGAGGAAAACTATTATTCATGCCTTGGTGAAGGACATACGAGCAATGCTATGTTTAAACTGATAAGCCCTTCGAGAGGGAAGAGGCGCAGCGTATCCTGTGCAATTTTTACTTGATTCAGTAGACTACCTTAGGGCTATTAAGCTAGACCGGCATTCATGCTGTGGACATACGTGAACAGTTGTACATTTGAGGGTAGGTACCCAGCGTGTCCCCAGCAAAGTTTTAAAGAAACGCCGAGAAGCTTTGTTAATGTCATTAAGGCAAAGGTGCAGAGTGTTAGACTGGTGGCAGCTGATAAGACCCGTTTGCTTTACTGACATCCAGCTCAGTTGGTAGAGTGCTCCGCTGGAAATGGAGAGGCCCTTAGTCCGATACCAGGACCCGGCGGATCTGTTCAGCGTGCACCAGTCGCCTAGTTGTGTTTGGAGATTTATGTTTATCCTTTGTCCCCCTTGTTCCCCCTCTCCGGGGATTATTACTGTTTAACGCTGAAGAGGTTCTTGAAGAAAACAAGTTAGAGATGATTCCTAGCATATTTTTGTCCCGTGAACATGAATATCACAAGCATTTGATCCGAACGAATAAATAAACGCGAGAAAAACTAATAAACCAGCTGCTGGGTGCGACGTCATACCCAGAGGTTTCAACCGCCTTGCGCATGTCGCTTGTGAGGGAGCACGTGCTGCGTTTTTGACTCTTCGGGTAAGCCCTTTGGAAGGCGTGGAAATGCTGAGACCTCTCTATAGTATGTCACTATTCCTTCCCTCCCTCCCCCCCCCCCCCCCCTCCCCCCCCGAACATGCTGGTTAGGAGGGGATTCAGCTCTCTTTTGAAAGCGCCGTCAAATACGATATAGCTTCGCCAATACTGGAAACTCCGAAAACACATAGGAGTGGCGGCGAACGTGACAGTGGCGCCTCTAGCGGACTCGGAATCTACGGAAGCAGTCGACGCAATGGAAAAGTATAGGCTCTGCGACGTCCTCGAGCTTTACGAGCCCAGTTTCGTCACCCTAACAGCAGAAACAATTTATTATGGTGAGTCCGCTTGCAAAGCGGAATCCACTGATCGCAACTGCAACGACAATCGAATAACAACGCGCGCATAAACAAAGATAGAGCAGTTTATTTAGCGGTCTCAAACGCCTCTCAGGGGATCACACGCATTTGAAACGCGTCTGGGAAGCGGAAAAAAGGCGTTTAGCTACTCAAACTACGTCGTAATCACTAAAACATGCAAAAATGACATCCTAATATTACCAGAGCAAGCGCACGAGCTGCTGGAGCATAAAAACAAAACAAAAAGTAAGGATAAAAATGACCGTGCAAACACTTACCGAACTTTGCAGAAAAAATGGTGTCGCCATTCCCGACGAAAATAAAAAGAAACGGGAATGAGAAGCGAACAACGGTGAATAAAACAAAGAAGCTAGCAAAAAACTATTTCAAACTCGACGACGATCGTTGCAGCGCTTATGGAAAAAAAAGAAAGAAATATGGAAAGCAGCAAATGAATAGCTGGTGGTCGCCACCGGTGTTGAGTTGACAACAAACAAAGCGGAAGCAACAGACGAAGCTAATAAAAAAAGAAGAAAGCGTCCCTTTTTTTCAGCTGCTTGTTGTACATTTCTTTATTTGCTTTTGCGGCGTAGGTACGAACTAAAAACAAAACAGGGGAAATAAATAACGTAGTGCAGCTCACACTGCCCGGTAAAAAAGAGTCGCAGAAATGTTTGGTCGCAGGAAACAATCTTCTATATGTGCTAGCAGTGAGTAACCGTTTTTTGCTTTCGAATTTCTTTTTCCAGTGACTTTGGCGGGTTATCATCATCATCAATGTTTATTCACGTAAAGATGTACAAAGATGTTGTTCGTTCGCTCGGCTTGACGAAGCAGTTTAAAAGTGCATTCAAGTACTTGTTGACGTAGGTGTCCGTAGGTTGATGTAGGAAGCAGAAGAAAGATTTTCCACCACATCGCACAAACTTGTTCTTGCAATGGTAGGCAGCACATAGCACGCCTGCCATCTCTAAGTATGCTCTGGTGTATGCTCGAATGCGGCCGGTTGATCAACAAACGATGACCCGTAGCAGACGTGCCGGCCGGAGTACACAAATAAAATTCAAATAAAAATGGATAACGAGCTTACACTTCTTAATATACTATTTAATAAATATCAAAAAGCATGTATGACGATTTTGGATTAGAAACTCAATCGAAGGCGAAAATAGGAGGTTATCGCAGACACAGTGGAAGAAAACCACAGCAACAGCAAAGTTGCAGACGGCCCTCAAAATGCCCGGGCCTAGCGCAGACGAACCGGGGGTAGTAAGCGCCGAAGCGAAGGAAGAGGAGTAAAAACTAAGCCAAACAAAGCAAGGATATGCAGGCAAAAAGAAAACAAAAATTTACACAGCAACATACAAGCAGGAGGAAGAAATAACGCGGCAGGGTGGCGTCGCCTCAAAAATATAAAAGAAAGAAGACTCAAAAATGGAAAGAGTGGAGACGGTTCAACGGGTGTCGGCTTTTATCGTAGAAGTAAAGAAGCAGCGAAGCAGAAGATGTTGGTCGTCCCTGCGCTAACAATCGGAATTTGTACACTGTAAATAACGTGACTGAAATCACCTTTTTTCGCGGGGCTACGACGATCTCCCCTTCTTTCTTTGCAAGCGCGAGAAGTCTGCTTTTTTCGTAATTCCGCTTTTGTTAATCTATAATCGCGTCAGATTTGCATATGCACAACGACTTCTTCGGGGCATACTGACATCGCCGTAACGTACGTGGTTCGAAATTGACTTCTGCTTCTTCATCCGGAGACGATCTTAACGGGATTAGCCAGCTCGCCTGTTCGACGAAACGGTTATAAGCAAGACATTCATGAGAAATGGGAATTGCAACGACAAAACGAATTGACTGATAAGAACAATAAAGTTGAAACGAAGCTATGTTCTGAAATGTTTGTACATTTCCCTTTTTCATGAAACAGCGCGAAGGCATACATTCGTGTTTTGCTTGGCTTACATAAGTTGTGACAGAATGTTTTCTTCGGGAGAACTCCGAAATTGCCCTCAGAAAGCTGTAACATCTTTCCCACGCAAAGAGAATGTCCTTCACTCATGAGCTGGCACCCATTTTTTAACTTTCAAAGCAGCAAATGTCCGTGACAAGTTTTTTACGTTGGTCACCTCGCACGGAGATAGGCAAAATTAATGCATTTTGGAGAATTTGTCTGCTAGCGGAGACTTTGAGCTCTCCAGGGGCGCTGCAATCACTTTTCGCCCCGTTTTCCGCGGGAGTTGCCAGTATTGGCTTTCACGGTATTTGGCGCCGTTGTGGCTACTTGGCGCATCAACCTGAAATAAAAAATTTTGATATTCGTGATCTTGAAGGCTAAATGAAGACGATTTAAGGGTTTTTTTCTCAACTAGAGAGCCGCTTCAGTTTCCCTTTAAACATAGAACAACATTCAACAACAATTGTCACTTGTTAAGTCCCAGAGCAAAAAAGGCAGATGGGGCACGCGATAGGATAGGCTTCACTGCCGTGCACTGGTGTGGTCGGAAAAACAGCCGACACAAAAGAGCACCTTGGTTAGCTCAGTGGGCCCAGAAGTCTGGGGCGGGCACTCGAAAAGTCCTTCGCTTATTTTTCTCGCGTTTCAAAAATAGCTGGGTGCTCGTAAAGGACACGGGGGCACACTCGGTATTTTACAGTAGGAGTTCTGACTTGTTCTCGCAGTTGGGCGCATGGTGAAGTACACGGGCTACGGCAACGCAGCGGGGCTCTTGGCCAGGCGAGGCCTCTTGCTGGGGGGACCCACGAGCGACTGCTCTTACTCCAGCGACTCGGAGGACAGTGACACCGAGGAGTACGCCAAGTACAAGGACAGGTTCGTCCTCGGTTGCCTGTCTTTGCCTTCTCGTGAGCTTTGCTTTTTGTGCCACGTTGTGGACCTGAATTGTAGCTGCATATTCCCGAAAATTGTGTCTTGGCAAACCTGTGTCCATGTTGCAATGTCAAGAGCGTTCTTCAGTTCGGTTTCCTGCAGTACTAGCAAGTGCGGGCACTTGCATACTTGCATGTGCTAGCAGATGCAGCAGCACTTTACTCAGTGTCGGCTTCTTCTAGCCACATCGTCGAGGCTGGCGTAGTTTCAACAGTGCTCCAGCACTGTGGAAGCCACTTGTACGAGCACTGTGCTTTGCCTTGCATCTTCTTAAGAGAGCGGGTGCGAATGTGACCCAAGACAAAGTCACCTGCTGTCGCAGTTGTGCAGGGCTACACCACTTTAGAAACTACACTAGCCTGGGCAACGTGTGCAAAAGAGTATATGCCGAGCATAGTGAGTATGCGTGCCACTAGCAAGTATGTCCAGCACTAGCAAGGCAATGCATTTCAACGGTGTGTGCAGTGGCCGCTTATGCAGCACTCTTTAATGAATCTCACTTGAAATTCAGAACGAATTTTCGGCTGTTTTGGGCATCTTTTCTTTTTGGATGCACTATAAACATTTTGGATTGGCAGGAAAACTCTTCTTCTCCACATTTGTTGCTGATGAGTAGAATCTATAACACACTGTGTTGACAAATCACTTCCGACTCCATATATGATCTCTAGAGTTTCTCAAATCTCGTTTACTTGTCGTTTGGCATCTCGCAAGTGGCTTCAGTGTGGCCAGAAGTGTTTATTCACAAGAGTCCTTGGAGCCATGAGAGTTGTCATAATTGGAGTTCATTGTGTATCTGATTGAATAGGCCACACAGATTGATTTGTTGTGTTTACCTGTAGGAAAACAATTAGTAGCTGCTACCAGAACTTTCTTTTTGTACGAGCATACCACAAGGATCTTGTGTGATGTGATTCCTTTAATGGGCACTCATTGGAAGGCAAGGCAAGGGGGGACCTTTCATTTTCCCTCTTTGTCCCTAAAACAAGTGCCTGCACTAAAATCTTTAGTACATTTACTCCACACCTACTTATTACACCTCTATATCGGATTGTCTGTTTCACATCATAAACATTTATTAATTGAATTTATCTTTGTGAGAGAGAGAGAGAGATGACTGAAACACTGTCTGCATTCCTCGCAGTTAAAACAGTTCTCGGGTCTTTGTTGCAGGATCAACCCTGTGGTGGGCTGCTACGAAGAGCCCGGAGTCAGTGCCCTGGAGGGAATGAGCGAAGAACAGAAGGAGCATGAGGCTCTGCAGCTGGCCACCCTGATGGACAAGCTCGCCAGGCAAGTTTCAGAGCAGCCTGAAGTATCCGGGAGGTGCACTTTGACTGCGGCAACTGCTATCGTTTTGCCACTTTTGGTTATCGATCGGCAGCCTGCTGCAACACTTCGGTGCCGCGTTGTTTCAATCGTGGCCGGAGAAACGGAGCCCATCCTTGGATGCGGGAACCAGCACTTGGAACACTATGCATGGCTTTATTCATGCAGACTGTTCATACTACCTTTATACTACCTTTCATACAACCGAAGAGTCCAGAAATTGAAAAATCACCTGTCAGTTTTAGGTATAAATTATGTAAAGCAGGTTGTGATAACAAATGTTTTGTAAACTTTTAGCGATGACAAAGTTTGTTATGTTGTCACGGCATTCTTTTGGCATTACCAAATACTATCATGCTGCATCGCTCTGTAACGAACAAAAGCTTTGCCATTTTCTGTTCGAAGGGGTGGGGTGGCACATGTTAGTTTTTAAACATGTCAAACAGAAAACGGGGAAGCTTTTGTTTGTTGTATGAGTCAAAACGAAAGTGATGATTTTCTTATACTTGTTATTTCTCAAACATCCAAATATTTTGTTAAAAAAAGAAGTGCAACAAACAAAACGAAGATCAGTAAGTAACTTTTAGAGCCCATAGGAAGCTCCCAAAAGAGCACAAGCACTTGTGACTAGCGGAGAGTCACGTGACTGCTACTAGTTGCCACTTCTCCACGGGCTCCCGCGGGCTCCAACTACAAATTCGTTTTGCGCCGTAATAAAAAAAAAAAAAAGAAGTTTTGGTTGTAAATGTATTTTATGATTTTTTTTCTTTTCTTTTGCATATATTTTTTAATAGATGGCGTGATTAACCAACTGTTTGTTTTTTTCCAGGGGAGGCGTGGTGCAGCCAGCACGCGTCGGGGCCGATGGACGCCCATATCCCATCGAGCACGTGCTTCAGCTCCAGGAAGGTTTGCCCCACGACAGGGATTTCACAGAGTCTGAGTCAGACTAGTCCGAGGAATCCGCCACAGCGGTACGGTCTGTCAGTACGATTGAAATGCTGGTCTTCGTACCGTCCCATTGGACGCGGCCAAAGCTATACTGGCTAGCGAAGATCGGCGGAACGCTCCGCCGCAAAATTGTGGGTCCATTTTTGTTCCTAGAGACACCCAGAAGAAGCTCGCTCCGGACAAGAAAATGCAGCATCATACTTTTACCATAATATAGAATTTTGCATAGTTTCAATCAAGCTCGCAAATTTTCACAAGTGCTGCGACATTCGATGTGCGGGGTTTTCTCCAGATGAAAGTAGTGGCGTCGAGCTTCTTTGGAGTTTATCCTCCCATCAAATGCGGAGAGAGGGCGTATTGCTTACATGCACTTGATAGGGAAAGGTCGAGGGGGGAGTATATGGCGGCACAATTAATTTTTACTTCAAGAAGAAACAAAAAACTACTGCTTTTTCGAGTATTGAGGGTTACGATCGGGAAAAACTGCTAAGTTGCCCGCGCGCCTTACTTTGGTTTGCTGGGCTAAAGATCGAGAGGAGGTAAGTTCAAGGGCCAAGCACCTTCGTTGATTCGGGAACGATATGAAGGCCGCAGTCTGCTGGTAGTACATCGAGGCACGTCTACTTTAGTGCAGCTGCGCGGATCTTGAAGTCGACCAGAGCTGCGAGAAACGTGGGTTCTTTGATGGTACGAAGGACCAAGGCAGGCACAGGGTTAAGACTGTCCCAAGTTTCATGCCCCTCTTCTCGTTTTGTCATCTCATCTCTTGACATTTGTGGAGAGTGACTTTCTTTGACGGAAGGAGTGTCCTTGTAAGATATCATTTTGGTTTGAGGGCTGGCAGCTACTACGTCTTTGAGCACGGAGCCGTCGTTTCCGGGGGCAATTCAGATGCAATCACTGGAGTGGTCCATAGTTAATTAGTCTGTTTTTGTGCCAGTGGTTCTCTCCTAGTCATTCACTTGTGTGTTCGATCATGGTTTCTGGTATGGTGAGATCATCCTGCGTTAGTGCCACTCTATCTGTTCCAAGCTGGTGACAACTTAAGGTCACTGGATATTCGCAGAGTGGCAAAGCTCCACAGCTGCCAATTCCTGATATGCGACGATACCAGAGTACGACTGGGTTTCAAAATAAGAGCTGCATATTTGACATCTTAATACCTTGTGAAGGAGGTTGTAGCTGATGGGACGAACTTCAAATGGATCCTCATGGAAACCTTAAAGAAGCAGTCGGCAATTCATGAAGAGATTTTATTTCTTTGAATGTCAGCTCATGACTGGTCACAATAATGTGCATCCTGAAAAGGCTGTCTCTTCATGAAATACTGCTTGGCACTCTGAGGGTTTCAAGATCTCGGCGCCATATTGCATATGTACTGTTCGCAAACATTGCATATGCTGCAGAATCAATCTGAACATGCTCCATGTGGCTGCGAGGTAAAGAAATTTTACTCCAAGATCTGTTTTCCTAGTGGTTGGTTTGAGCAAGTGAAACTACACATACAGTCGACGGTCATTAATTCAAACTAACATGCAGGTCCCATCCTATGCGTCTCTATGGGAGGAAACTCCCAGTAATTCAAACTTTGCTTTATTCAAACAAAGTTTTGTCTCTTTTGAGTTTGAATTAACGAGATTCGACTGTAGTGAAAATCACTCTGTTAAACAAATAGAACAAATGTTTTTTTGTTTTTTTTTCATACTTTGTTTGTTTGAGTACTGCACTGATGAAGTGCTTTGGGAATGATTCAATAGCATACAGGAAAGAAATTTGCAACACCCCCCCCCCCCCCCCCCCGTACACACACACACACACACACACAAAACTTTCCTAATTTCAACAGAACACTAGAGGTGCCATCACAGAGGCCAAGTTATCAAAGCTGGCAGTAACGGTCAATCAAAAACAGTCAAATCTCGAAACGCCATATACAACTATAATTATCAGTTCTTCATAGTGCCCATACTTGTGTTCACATCAAAATCAGCATCAGTGAGCAAGCTCAGCTAAGTGTCGGTATGCCTGTGGAGCACTCGTATGCAAGCGACCAATCACATTGCTTTGCTCTGAATGGGTGCATTGTTTTTAGAAGGGAAGGTGTGTCGCCCTCAGGCTCCCCGTCCTAGGGAGGTCCTGAACCAGTGTTATTCTGGCATTGAGCACATGAGATGAGTTAAGAGCATCACAAGGTGTCACCTGGTGCGCAACTAGTGCAGACAGTGCTTTGGCAGGGAGGTTATATGTGCACATAAAGGACGCTGCCCGTGCGATAGTTATGTGGAACCAGTTGCAACGTTCTTGTCCAGGACCGGACATCCTTGTAACATTTAGATAACATTGGAACTCTTCTGTTTGCTTTAAAGAGGCCTTTCCCTTTAATTTGCTCTCAATCTCCTCGTACAATGGACCGTCACTAATGCCATGAGCCATCGGGGCTAATTCATAGTGCAGAGCATGTCACGTCACCTTCCAATTCGGTGGGCATGATTTCGCGTGGCACGCGTGGAGGACCGTATCGGCAAACGTGGCTGGTAACATCCGTTACAACATTTCGTAAGGTGAACCTTAGTATAAGTCACAGAAGCAAAAACAAAGAATGGTCTTTCCTTAAAAATTGGTGGAATGTGCTTCTGAGATTCCTTTGGCAAAGTGAGAGTTTTTTGCGACTTGTTTTTTTACGCTTTTGCATATCTTCTTGGAGATTTGTGGGGAAGTCTTGCTTCTTGGGACTCGACAGATTTCAATGACTCCGAGACCTCAAATGTGTAATAAAAATGATTAAATTTTGGTTCTGCTCTCACGCCGTTTATGCTCAAAGCGTGGTTGCCAAGACGATCCGTGAAGCATTGGAGTGTGTGCAGGGTGCAATTGACACCACTGTTCTGTGCACAATGTCTGACTTGCGCATTCCTATATTTCATCTTTATGATTGTGTTTTCAGCCATGCAACTGCTAAATAACTGCTGGGGGACTTTCTTCTATTGCTTTTTTTTAATTAATGCTAAAAATTTTCCACCGAGATGGTCTTGTACATCTTTTGTTTGTTGACCATTTCTGCTACTTTCTGCCAGGAGTGGCGGGCCTCTACACGGGACATTCTGTCTTTTAATTGCCTTTCTGCTGTCTTTTTTCTCGCCACAGTAACCAACAGATTTGGTATGTACCTGATATGAGAACGCTTGAAACTGTCATCACTCTTGTGTCACACAATTAGCCATATTTCTCATTACTCACAGCTGTATCGATAGATGTCATATATACTACCGTCGGATCGTTTTCTTTCTCTACGGACACAAACTTGTGCTGTACATATCTGTGTGCTTCGGTACGTTTTGGGAAAACGTGAATGGCCTTGCCGTTCGTCTTTCGTTGGCACATTTGAGCGTGGTCGGATCGTAGACACGTGGACTTTCTTACTTTCCTACAATGTACTCTACAATGTCGCTAGTGTATTGCCGCTGCTCGGAGCCAAACTCTGCGAGTGTTTCAAGTGGCGTGTCCATTAGTGTGCTTGCTCTCCTGAGCGGAATTGTAGACACGTGCAATTATTGTGACGTCATTTACAGTGATGCTTTGTGACAACTATTTATATGATGGAGTCGGTCTTGTCTAGTCCAAGGGACATGGTGATGTGAAAGTCAGAGCCTCTGCACTGACTTCAATGTGTCTTCTGCTACTGTGTGTTGTATTTTTGTATCATATTTTAGCAATACATTGCATTCCAGTTGACTTTGTGTCTTGGGTTTATTTCTTTTGTGTTAGTGACCAGCATGCACTCCATATTTGTAAACTGCACAAAGAGAAGTTGGGATGTGAAGCTGCACACTTGCACACTGAAATTAAACGGGCAGATTAGTCTTAATATGGAAAGCTCGTGGCCTGCCTTAATATATACACCGAGTTTTGCGACTGTTAGGGCTCTAGTAATTTCAATAATCAGTTTACAATTGTTTGACCATTTTTTTCTGGTTACCAAGCATCACTGCCCAAGTTATTCACACTACGGTGCCCATAAACCATGTGATCATGATGTGTAGTTGAACGGTCTCATTCATGGTGCGGCTGGTGCCCCATGCTATCCCTCGTAAAACCCTTCTTTACTGAAAGTACCACCTTGCCCTCTTTCCCTTGAGAATCCCTCGCTCCACCCTCCGCGAGTCTGCCTCTTTCATTTTGACGCTTTTCCCACTCGGCATGCTGCCGAGTGGGAAGAACTAAACTGTGCAAATAAGAAATATTATTATTCCCTCAGCTACTCCAGGACCACTTTCGCTCACCTCCTTGCCTTTTGACCTCCCACCTTGCATGCACGTACGACATTGTTGCGGATGACAGGGAGTTCAGGGCGGTCCAATCCAAACCGCAACACGGCGTCCGGGGACGCCCCGTTCCCGGAACTTGTTTTTATCGCGGGCACTTTCATCATTGCACGTGGTCTCCAAAGAGAGAACAATTGAAAATATATGCAGACGAATGAACCATACTTGATCGAGTGAATCCGAAACCGCCAAAAGTAAAAATATTTGGCGTAGCAAGGATTTCAACGGGTTCCCCAATCACTTGGTCGTGCTCTCAATGTCCGACCTAGAGTTCAAATCCTGGCTTTACCAAATCTCACCCAGTGTCAGGTGTTGACTGAGTTGACACCTGAAATTTTGACTTTTGGCGGTTTTTTAAAACTTTGATTAATATTTAATTGTGTTGCGTGTAAATGTTTATATAGCCCGAAGTTAGTCTGCCTCAACGGGCAGCTTGGTCTCTCAGCAGTAGATGAGCAATTTAGCCAGTGCAGTAACGGCTAGCCTGGTGTCTTGAATGAGCACCACGCAGTAATGATTCACGACCACACGCTGGTACGATGCTCATCCAGATTGAAATGGGCTAGGGTGGGAATTAAACCCAGGATTTCTGGGTTTTGCAGTGAAACTTTGATTAATTCAATCAAATATGGTTCATTCATCTACATATTTTTGATAATATATATAACGGAAAACCGCGCAGTAGGGCACTAGTCGCCACAGGGCAAGAGAGGGAGAAAAAGGCCCTTTTGTGAGATTTTTTATCTTTGAGGGTGAGAATACAACAAAAGCGACTTTGTCTTTTTGCAGGATTCCCGGAAAGCTAGGAGTGCCTTCCCTCAAATTCAATCATTTGGATTTTTTTTTTTTTCATTCATGTTTTTGTTTAGGGTTATCCAATCTACAAAAAAGGTTCTAGGCACGGGAGGAAAATCCTTCTCGTCATCCTTCCCATTTCCCCCTCTCACACAGCTATCTTGACGTTGGGGGGACTCCTTGTTTTTGTTGCTGCAATTCTTGGGTCTGGATAAGCTCGCGACTTATCCAGCTTAAATATGCAACAACAAATGGAGCCAGAGAAAATATTGTAAAGGTGCACTGGGGTAGAGAAGAAACATCAACGTAAAAGAGACGTGGAAGAGACAGAAAATAGGCAGGTCAGGCAGGTCGACACGTGCCGCGCGCCACTTCTGGGAAGAACATGGCGTCTGAAATCTAGTTGAGTGCTGCCTGCTGCTGCGCATAGAAATCGAGCTCGCTGCACGGCTGCACGTTCCTGCATCTTGAAACGACCCACCTTGCACCACTATTAAAACATGAAGGGGTTTTAGAAACGGTTTTAGAGAACGTCTCAAAACAGGCGCTACTCAACACAGCCAGGGGCGGATCCGAGGGAGAGGGGGAGGGACGACGACGGGAACGGCCGGCTACCCCCCTCCCCCCATTCGCCCGCGCATCGACAGATGCTTGTATTCGAACGTGGCACGTGTAAATCGAGCGTTACAGCGCCACTCTGATGGTGCAGCCTGGTGCAGCCATCATAACTGGCATAACTAGGAGTGTCGCGAACTTTTGTCGAACCAGATTTTTTGAGCATAGTTGTAAACCCGAGACTGGGGATACGGACAAGGGACAAAAGACAGAACGACGGAGACTTCGAGCGTGTCGTTCTGTGTTTTGTCCCTAGTCCGTTTCCCCAGTCTCGGGTTTACAACTATGCTCAATTTACACCAGCTAGCCTGCACCCTCACCATTGCTTCAGATTTCTTGGTCGAATTTTCGAACCGGTTCGACGAATCTTCAAACTTTTCAACAAATTCGTACCGGTTCGACTTTGTGGACAGTGGCTAGACCAGGGTGTAAGATAGACAGGTGGGGAAACGAGAGCCAAATGAGTGACCAAATTGTGTCCCCCTCGGGTTTCTCTTTTTCTGTGGCGCCATCTATGTGGAGCACCGCGAACTCTCACTCCGGGTGGGCGCCCGGTGGCGACCGGCTAAACTGACGGAGATTATCTCTCCTGGATTTTCAATGAAGGAATGTTGTGATCTCGGTTTATTTTGCGCGCTCTCCCATAAAGTTCCAAGCAAATTAAATTCCAATTTTTTTCCTTTTGCCGCAGCGCCATCTGTCGCAAATCGGGGGTACCCGCAAGCAGACGAGTACACAATCCGGTCACGGCGCTGCGGTAGGCTTCTAGGGGCCGTTTTCCCACCTGTGTATCTTACACCCTGGGCTAGACCTTGATACAAGCATGTCTAAGTTTGGAAAACATTTCTTTTTTTATGCAAAGGGTTATTTTATATTGTGAACAGCTGCAATTAAAAGAAACTAATTCTAATCAATGAAGAAGTTTATAACTTAATTTTTAGTACTGTATTAACTGAAATAGCCAAACAAGGCTGCACTTAATTAATCTCTAAGCCATTATCATCCAATCCGAAGCCAACTGGCCAGCCTGTCGCGCATGCGCACGCAAGATCGTCGAACTTTCCACTAAAAGGTCGAAAAAGTCGAACCTGGTCGAACTCGAACCGCGGCCGGTTCGCGACACCCCTAGGCGTAAGCCGCATAACATGGTCGCGTCTTGCGTAGGTCTTCCGCCCTTGTCTTCCGCACTGGTCTTCCGTAAAGCCCCTCGATGTGTTTGTGTCTGTCTTGCAAGTAGCGAGACCCACGTCTCGAGCGGCCCTTGGAAGTGAATGGCGGCGCAGCACTGAAATGAGCGGCCCTAGGAAGCGAATGGCGGCAGAGGCGGCAGAGCACCCGCTCGTGACACGTGTCTCGCGCGGTTCCCCAACAATGGTTGGCGGTACTTGTAAAAAATGCCTTTATCAAGGGGCTTTAGTCTTCCGGACGCGCTCGCGCCCCCTGGCCCAGAGCAACGGGTCTATCCTTAAAAATGTTTCCGCCTCCCCTCCACCCCCCCCCCCCCCCCCCAAAAAAAAGAAAAAAAAAAGAGAAAAAAAAAAAACGGAGTTTTGGATTTGCCCCTGAAAACAGCTAACGTTTAGGGGAACACCTTTCACCACCCACACTCCATGCCACCCACATCATTCTCGTTTCAAAGGCATTTTTTCAGATTCAAAAGCATTTTTCTGTTCACTTATTTTAAAAATCGCGAACTTTTCGCACTTTTACGATTTATTATGTTTTACTAAAGCCGTCAACGAGCCAGTGCGAGTTCCTCGAATCAACCCATTTTTAATAGCAAGCACAGCAAGCATTACTTGTGACGTCAACAAAATATTTGTGGCCGACGGGAGTCAAAGGGCGCTTCAGAGGTAGTAAATGCTGCACAAGGAAGACGCAGTTTTCGTACGTTTATGCAACCTTTCGAGTTACTATAAACAGGCTGGGTGTTCTGAGTTATAAAGAAAACTAATATATAACAATAGAGATATAGTTTAACACCCTTTCTAATTCTATAAACTATAATAGGTAACAAGTTTGTACTATCTTAAACTAAATAATTTGATTCAAGTTGTTGCGACCACTGCGGAGAAAGGGTGTCACGTCCCAGCAAGGTCGTCTTTTTCAGTGCGCGTAATGGTATGCTCAGGCCTCTCCTCACTATTACGAAATAATCTTTCGCCTTTGTGAGGAGATTTCTAATTGTCAGCGCAGTTCGTTTTAGTCATCAGTCAGTCTGCAGCCAGTCGAAGCCTCGCCCGGATAGTCTGCGCGAAGTCACGCCACCCGTCACCCTGCTGCCGGCGGACGCTTCGGCTGCCATGGAGGCTTCGGCGTCGCAGCGGGGGGCCGTACCCGAAGTCCGTCGCGACTTCAGCTTCAATGTGCACGTGGGACAAGGGGTTTCGACAAAGCAAGTTATTGAAGCCTTCCTGGCTTTGGTACCCCCTGCAACTGGACGGGCCTGTCACCCGTACGGCGGTGGGCGATTCACGCTCACGGTGAAGACTTCGGACGCAGCCGAAAAGCTACGTGAAGCAGGGTGCCTGGTCGTCGGCGGCAGGAGCTATGAGCTTTTGCCATTGGCATCGAAGGTGAAGGCCGTGACCCTCCTCCTGCTCCCGGTGGAAGTCCCGGACTATGCCGTCGCTCAGGTCCTGGGCGCCTACGGGAAAGTCATTCGCATGACTCGGGAGACGCACCGCGAATACCCCTCACTGGAGACCGGCACCAGGCGGGTCGTCATGGAAATGGAGAGGGAGGTACCCAACTACATCCAAGTCTGTGGATTTCAAGGCATGTGCCTCTACTCAGGGATGAAGAAGACTTGCAGACGGTGCGGCTTGGGCGGCCACCTCTCCTACGACTGCAGGACCCCCCGATGCACCAGGTGCGGAGAGTACGGTCACGCCGGCCCTCAGTGTCGGGCGCCTTGCAAGCAGTGCGGAGAGGATCACCCGACCTCACAGTGCCCAGTCAGCACGTATGCCAGCGCGCTGACTGGGGGAGCCCACGAAACCCAGCGGGAGGACGGAGGACAGGAAGGAGACAACTCCTTTTCTAAGGAGGGCGAAAAAGTAGGCATGCCGGCGGCAGCCCTTCGGCCCAGTGAAAACAGCGAGACTCAGCGGGGCGGTGCTAGCTCGGTGATAAGCCCAGATAACGCAGGCACGTCTACCGGTGACTCGGCGGAAAGCACGGCGATGTCGGCGGGTATGGCCGAGGAAAGGGCGACAACTTCGGAGCAACGGTCGGAAACCTCGAGTGCCACGACGGCGTTATCACTCTCATCTGAAAAGCAAGACGAATACTTGGGGGCCAGAAACGAAGAAGCTCCCATGGAAGCTGTGTCACAGTCGATCAAGCGCCCACGTGACTCTTCAAGCTCGAGGGAAAGCGATGATTCTGGGAAGCAAAAACATTCGCTTCCGGGGCAGCTGAGTAAGCTCCCCAAGCAACCGAGCCAGACCAAATTAACACTCCGGAAGAAGACCAAGGAATGGGACTCCACCCCTTACGACCCATCATGCGAGTGATGTCGTTAAATGTAAAAGGACTTCGGGCGCCGGCAAAGCAGGCGTGGATAGGGGTTCTTATGAACCAGCTAAAAGTGGACGTCTTGCTCCTCCAGGAAACTCACCTAACGTGCACGCGGGAGGTGCGGGACTTTGAGGGCAAGGTGCCTGTGACCGGTTTTTATAGCTTCGGCGAACGCAGAGCGAGGGGAGTGGCCACCCTGGTGTCGCCGACCTTCCGTGGTAGCGTCGGCAAGTATCGACACGACGATGAAGGCAGGCTCCTCACCGTAGATGTCGTGCACAAGGGCAAGGTGCTAAGGATAGCAAACGTCTATGCACCAGTAGACTGCAGAGAGAGGAACCTTTTCTTCAGGAACTTGGACTTCTACCTGCAGGGAAGACGAGAACTGGTGTTGGCGGGAGACTTTAACTGCGTCCTCGACCAGGCGAAAGACTCGCTCGGCGGCACGCAGAAACACCAGCCATGGAAAGCCAAGGGACTCCGTCAGCTGGTCACATCTTGTTCCCTAGTGGACGCATGGACGCACCTCCATGGAAACGTACCTGGATACACCTTCTCCGCGCAAGGACGCTCAGTGAGGCTTGACCGCTTCTACGTTACAGGTGCCCTGGTGGGAGCCCTTAAGGACTGCGAAGTTATGCCAGTAGGGAGCGCAGCAGCCTACGTGACAGACCATCAAGCAGTCGTCCTTGAGATGGAGCTAGCTCCGGGCGTCGGCAGGCAAGCGACTCTGTGGCGCCTTAACACCAGATTGCTTCAGGACGAGGAAGTGGTCAAGCATGTGCGGACCTTCATCAAGAAAACGCTCGAGACGAAACAGCTCGACCTATGTTGGTGGGACGAGTTCACCACGGAGATCACCGAGGTCTTCAAGACTTGGGGAAGACGTCGAGCGGCGGAGCGACGACAGGAGGTAGCAGTACTACAATGGGGTATGCGGAACTTGCGGCGCTTAGGCCTGGACACTCCGGCAAAGATAGAGGCCTACACAGAACTACAAACTGAGTTCCAGCAGCTGCTCATGTCGCGGGTCAGCGAGCAAGGCCCGATCTCCTCGTGCCGTTCAAGCTGCAGACCCCCTCCCAGGGTCTCCCTTGCAGCCAAGCTCAAGTCCGAACCACAGGCGATTACCGAGCTGAATGGGGCCAGCGGGACACTTCTGACCTCGCAGCAAGAAGTTGAAGAAGAGTGTCGGAGATATTACAAGTGCCTCTATACAGAACGCCCTGTAGACGACACTCTTTGGAAGAAGCTCTGCGACCCACTTCCTCGGCTGACCAACCGCCAAGCTGAAGGCCTCGATGCCGCCGTTACCAGGAAAGAGTGCTGGGAGGCTTTGTCTTCCCTCGCCAAGGGCAAGGCATCAGGCCCAGACGGACTCCCCGTAGAATTTTACCTAAAATTCTGGGACCTGCTGGCGGACCCGCTAGTCAAGATCTATCAGATGAGCATGGAGGAAGGCTGCTTGCCACAGTCCATGCGCCAGGGGGTGCTAAAGCTACTCTGCAAGGACAACACGAGACGACGGGACCTGGCAGCGTGGAGACCTATCACCCTCCTCAACGCGTCCTACAAGATCTTAGCCAAAGTCCTACAGACCCGCCTCTCATCCGTAATGCATGACTTGGTGTCGCCGCAACAAGTCTGTTCTGTTCCCGGGCGAACTGTCCAGCAGAACCTTTTCGCGCTGCGGGACACGTGCTACTGGGTAGGCGACCGGGACATCCCGACCCTGATGCTCACTGTTGACCAGGAAAAGGCGTTTGACCGGGTCTCCCACAAGTTCCTGTTCCATGTCTTGGACCGTCTGGGGCTCGGTCGACGTTTCCTCGGGGGAGCGCAATGCCTTTATACTGCAGCCAGCAGTTCTGTCGTTGTGAACGGGTGCCTCACCCGACCCTTTCCGATCGCAGCGGGCGTAAGACAAGGCTGTCCATTGTCTCCGCTACTATACGTGCTCGTTTTTGAGACGGCCATCAAGCAACTTCTGGAGTCCACAAGAATGGCACCAGTGCCAACCCCGGGAAACCAGACCCGACCGTCGGTCTTCGCTTACGCAGACGACCTGACGGTGTGCACCACCGCGGTAGGAGGAGTACGTGAAACCCTCGACATCCTCAAAGAGTACGGCGAGGCATCAGGTGCAGGAGTTAACGTGGCGAAGTCGGCGGTCCTACCTCTCCAATGGTGGAACCGACCATCCAATATTGAAGGTGTGCCTGTGGTGGCGGAGGCAAGGATTCTTGGAATTCGCTTTACGAACAAGGGCCTACTGACAGAGTGCTGGCCAGAAGCGGTCAAGAAACTGAAGATTTTGGCCGAACAGCACACCAACGAGGAGTACGATTTCCGAACCCGCAGCGAGGTGCTCAAGACAAGGCTGGCGAGCACACTGTGGTACGGTGGGACGGCCTTCCAGCCATCTCGTCAGGCGGTGACCCGGTGCCACAAGACCCTCTACGGGTTCTTCTGGAACCACAAACCGGAAAGAGTGGCGAGGCGGGGGCTCCAGAAGCCGCGAGAGGGTGGAGGATGGGCCATCCCGGACGTTGGCCTTTTCTGCGTGGCCCTAGGGCTGAGAATGACTTTCCGCGTTCTTGAGGATGACGACCACGTTGCTTACGACTATACGTACTTCTTTTTGAGCACGGAAGTAACGCACTTCGGAGGGACCCTGGACCACACAAGGCCACGTTCCGGAAACCATCCGTACTTCTACGAAATCATGTGCCGACACGAGCGGGAGCTGCGACAAGCCTTCCCCGGTGAAGACTTGAGAGGCTGGACGGTCAAGCGGCTCTACCACTCTCTCCTGGAACTTCGACAACAGCCTCTCCTTCCCGGGGAGGAACACAAACGAAGACACAGGCTCTCGACCGAGGCGTACCAAGGCAGCCGTGTGGATGTCGTGTGGCAGCTCTCGCACGCAGTCCTCCCTGTGCGTACGCGCCTCTACCGCATGGGCTACAGCAGGACCGACCGGTGCCCAGAGTGTGGCCGCCCAGAAAATCATAAGCATGTCTTTTATGACTGCCTGAATGCAGCAGCCTTATGGCGCAAGGTGGCAGGCCTGTACGGACTTCCACGGGTGACTTACGACACGGTGCGGTTTCTAGACCCGATGCCAGTGCCACAGAGGAAAGCCCCAGGTTTCGGACTGCTGGTCCTCGAAGTGGTCTTCCAGCTATGGACGGCGCGCAACAAGGCCATCTACGGAGGAAACAAAACCGCCCTGCGCCAGTTGGTGTTCGAGACGCGGAACGCCTTATTTGCCAGGATCACTGAGGACTTGGCGACGCTAAGCCAGAGCGAATTCCGGGCGAGATGGAGGAACCACCACGACCTCTTCATGGTGAAGGGCACCACGCATGTCCGAGTGATGTCTTGAAGAACCGCGCGCGATCTTTGCATATATGAACTAACGAGTCGGAGCCGGAAGTCCGGCTGTGCTTTTAATAGCTCTTCGGGAAGAGCGGCTCTCATGTACATAGTATGTAAATAGTCGAGTCTCACCTTTTTTCACAATAAACATTTACTAAAGATTACCGTGGGGAGGGGCACTCTAATGAGCCTATAGGCCAATTTTTGGAAGGCCTTTACCGTTTGGTAGAGGCCTAATATTGAAACCAAAAGTGAGACTACTTGGGAAGCTCTTCTTCTCTTATATCGTTAAGTATGTTCGCATTTATCTGCCGCAGACTTTACTAAATTTGTGAACAGGTGTTTCTTCATTAAAAATGCACTAAACATTTACTTGTAAAACTCTCCAGTTACGAAATAGGAACAGCGCGGTAAAACCATTCAATAAAAAGAGAGGGAGAAGTATTTGCGATAACAATTCCTGGAGAGGGGGACTAACAGCTATTCTTGCCCAGCTCGCATTTACCTTTGCATTATCATCGTAATTTGACTTCACTGTATTTGAAATGGAGGAGCATGAAGGTGTACAAGAGGTAATGAATCTCAAAGTATGGCCGTAGGATTAAAAATGTTGAGATTGAATTATTTTAACTTAAAAATGACTTCCCAAGTCACCACCGGAAAGAGTTGAGCACGTTGGTTTTTAGGAGACACCAGCTGAACAACCCAAGCACACAAATGTAAGAAGGACGAGAGAGACGCATTCAACCGCTGGTTGAATGCGTTCCCAAGTCACATCATATTGATAAAATTGTCTTTTATTTATTGCTACTCTTTCTTTTTTTTATATATATTTTTAGACATCTTAAGCTAGGTAGCGCAAGTTACCGCCTATTACAAAGGGCCACGCAAAGGGCATTTCCATACACGGCTCTGGGCATTTCCGGCATTTCCCTGTAAGTCTAGCCAATACTATCCAAGGACTCCAAGGATCCAAGCACTGATCTCTAATTCTCTATTGAGATCAGTGGATCCAAGTATCCACAGCAAGTATCCGCAGCGTCCGCAGTATCCGTCATCAATCCGTTAGGGCTGGCGGGCATGGCGGTTGTGGTTGTTGTCGGGGTTGTTCGCGTTCGTTGGTCGGTTCCGCACAAGCCGTGACCCCAGGTTTTATTGGGGCAGCTACTAAAAACATCGAGGCAATTTCGATTTTTTTTCACATAACTGTCTTATTGTTCGATTTATGAGGATGGACAGTGCAAATGCAAAACCAATCGTGAGGAGGGGCTCCAAATGTGCGTTCATCCACTGCAAGAACAAGCGCAAATGCTCTCTACGGCTGTTCTTTCCGTAAGTAATGTTAAAATTCCACTGTAAGATATTCTGATGCATGTGCGTATTAAAATATATATATATATATATATATGAAAAAAAGGGCGGAGCTGCGTGCTCTTCATAGCTTCCGTAAGGAGAGGACTGCCAAATGTTTTGTATGGGTTCTGCAAGAACTCGCATGCTCTTGCTCAGCTTGCATATTCAGAAGGGCTCGCAGTTTCTTATCCTATGTATTCTCGCCGTCAAGTCTATTGTGATTCAAGGTATACGTAGTTACCACCGTGCTGCAGATGAAGAAACAACAGCACGCTTGCGCAAGTGCTTCGACTTGCGCAAGCTTGGTTCCCAGTGCTCCAAACGACGCTAAACTCGATAGCGTGGCACAGAAAGCGTCGCTAAGTTTTTAACAGCACGATATAAAACGTTGTTTTTTGTTTTGTTTACTTTGGAGAGTGGCGAAAAAGGACAGGAAAACATGAATCTATGCAGAGTGCAAGTCGTCTGCTGCTTCCACAGGAGTTCCAGTGACATCAGAACGACGCAGAGCTCCGATTGGCTTTAATTGAAAGGATAGTGGGTAGACCTCAATGCTAGATTGCTTGAGGTCTACCCACTATTTTGTTCAATCAGCCAATAAGAGCTCGGTGTTGATATCATCGCAACCCCTGTGCAAGCAGCAGACAAAATTGCGCTCCGCACGTATTGTTTCACCTCAAGATGTGCTGCGATGGACGCTACGAGCTACACGATCCAATCCGTAGTTCATAGCATGTCTCGTGACTTTGCGCTCCCCGCATCACTCTGCCCAACTTGAAGGGCATGCGACGCCCTCCAAGCTATGAATTGGCTCCGGTGACTCGTAGTGTCCTTTGTGGTCTATCATAAGCTGAAACAAAGTATAGCATCCATACTCATTACACTACACATTGTCTGGCTCACCTTGAAGTGGAGGTACAGTCACCGGCAATACGAGCTGGAATGCGCGAACAGCAATCAGGAAGCGAGGACCACGCAATCTAGCGGGCGGCAGGGGAAACGTCAGCATAAGTAGCGATGTTAAAATTCGTGCGCAAGAACAATATTACTGCAAGAGATCTGTGGTAAGTTGATTGCATGCATACTGCCAAAGACACTTTTATTGGTGAGAAACCCTTTAAGTATGACGATGCTCCATCGTGATCTTGGCGAGACTGGTTTAAAACGACTCTTCGAAGATGGGAAAGGACCGAAATGGCGGTTGCCATGGCAACGAACACCGATGCGAGGTTTTGGTCATCTGTGTGTCGGTTTGTAGCAGGCAGGGAAGGCAGTGGCGCTACTTTCCCAGGATACAGTGACTTTAGTACTTCTCCCTGGTCGCTGCTCTCGCATTCCATCTCGTATCGCTGGTGACCGACTGTCCCTGTCTGACATGACCCTGCCGTTGCTCCTTCTCCAGGTTTCCAGACCAGGACGCCACCCTGCGGGAGATGTGGCTCGCAAACATGCGGATGGAGGGGTACACGCCCACGCTGTACGACCGCCTCTGCGCGGACCACTTCGACCCCACCTGCTTCACCAAGCGATCGAGCATCGATCCGCTGATTACTCTGCGTGACGATGCAGTGCCCACGCTGTTCGAATTTCCCAAGAAGCCGACTGCAGTCGTCACCGTGACGTCCCACAAGCCCGAAGTCGGCCACCCGTCTCACCCCGCCCCGGCACTGTCCGAAATGAACCCCAAGAAGATGCCGATCAAGACAATGATCATGGAGTCTTCGCTGTCCAAACCGTTCACGATGACCCTTCCGCCCTCGTCTCGCCTCGTCATCGTGCCGGTGCGGACGAAAGATGGCAGGCAGCCGGGAACTTCGCTGACGCAGCCAAGCTTCATCGTGAAGCACGCTCCAGCAAACACGTCAACTTCCGTGACCGGCGGCGCAATGGCTGCGGTAGGAACGAGCAGGAGGTGGGGACCGTTGGAAGAGGATGACGTGGACCTTGAGCCACGGGACATGGCCAGACTTCCGCCAGAGCAGGAGCGGGTGATGAAGGGCATCTACAACCGGAAGATTCAGCTGGCTCAGGCGAGGATGAAGCTGCGCAAGCTTAGATGTGGCCTGAAAGCAGGAAAGAAGAGGCTGAGGCAGCTGCATGACCTCATGTTCTCCGAAAGTGTGGTGATGCGCAACGGCTCTAAGGTCGTACAGATGACCCTTTCGAACTGGGCCATGGAGGTTTTCAGCGACGCTCCGATCGACCGAGACGTAGCGATGACTGACTGTTTTGAAGTCTCGGCTACACCTGTGAATAGAAGTGTACTTAAAAGTAAACAAGTTTGACAGGGATCTGTCTGGTTGGGATCAAATTATCAGAAAGGGAAAATAGTCACCAACCGATCCCTTCACAAAACACAACCTCTTAGAAGAGGAACAAACTGCTGGGAGTCAATGTTCATACCCACTTTTAAAAGCAGCAGCTACTTTTCAACGGACACGGTCGCCCCGAATGAAGGAACCGAGTTGGTTCCGAAACATAGGGCCCCTTCACATTTAGGGATTGGTTGGTGAATAGTTTTTCTTTCTCATAGAAGTGTATGTAATGTTTCCGACATATACTAAACGGTGTCAAACAACCTGCTTGTGGCCGTGGTTGCCATTCCTTATACTTTCAGGCTGGCATTGTTCACCGTAGCTGCACATTTGGGTTGGCCTTACAGCGCATGCTTTACCTCGGGCATTGTTTAGCGCTCCGTGATTTCTACCACTGCAGCAATTGGTTACAAAGGCGAACGTCTGCCAATGCATTAACGGATGCCCTGCGCAAGCAAAGTGCTAAAAAAAAGCATGGGCTCCGTGTGGCTCCGCGCGTTATATTTTGGCACAAAAACATATCAATGACAGTGATGTGATATGTTCAAGTCATTTTGGAGTACCGTTTTCAGCAGCTAAAAGTCCATTTTAGAGCAGCAAAAGCAACTTCAGGAGCATAAGTTTACACTTCATTTTAATTCCCGGGCCATTCACACACTTGAAACCGACCGAGATGAGACCGGCTTTTAAGTTTCTTTTGGCAACTTATGACCAGCTCCACACCAGCGCATCCGATCGTAAGCCGCCGCAATAGGCTTAAAAAAACCGGTCTTGACTCGGACAGTCGTAGTCAAACGCAAGTGTGTGAATGGGCCTTAATGTGTTGGCCTGTCCATCAAAAGACAATAGAGACTTTTAGCAAACTGTTACCATATTCTGCATACTGCACTACTGGAGCCTCTGAAGCATGCTTTTAAGTGCGTGCTCGGGCGATGCCGTGACGGCGGGACGTACGTTTAAAAGCATGCTTCAAAGGCTCCGGGAGTGCGGTAGGTGGCAACGGTTTGCTAAAAGTCCCTATTGTCTACACTGCCTTCCCACCTCTGTGGAACTTTCCCTTCAAACACAGAACTAGCTTTTGCACGTTGCAGTACCAGGCATGATAATATGTAGAATGAAGGACAGTATGTACTGCTGTGAATGGTTATTTTAGGTAAGGCCAAAGGTAAACCAAACAGTATATGTTTGAACAAAACAATATTGTGCACCGAAATTGATATTTCAATGAAATTTTAAAGTTTTAATAAAACTCCAGTTATCAATTCAAATCAAAACAATTTTGTCATTCGATTATCAATGACAATTTATATGTAGGATTTCATGATTAAAGAGATTAATTTTGAACAAAAAATAAGCCTTAGAAACAATCCAGTCGAACTAATTAAGGTTATTCCCAAGTTTCCCTCCACTCCAGCTAAGCGAGTAGTATTAATTTACTCTGTTCACTGTGCCTTCACACAGATCGAAGCTATGTAAAGCTTATAAGTAAACCAGAAAGATGACAAAAAAAAAAAAAAGAGAAGCTTATAGAGAAAAGAGAAGCTTATACACAAGTATCCTTGCTAAATGTCGAATTTTAACTAAGAAATAATCGGGATATTGCAGTCAATCGTCTATACTAGTCAGTTTTATTCAGAATTTCGCGCTGCAAGGCAGAGTTGTAGAATCAACTTACCAAATTTTTTTTTATATAGTTTGTTTGTGTGTGCGATGCCTGACTTCGGAGAAGTGCTTGTCGCTTAGTACATGGCGGCACAGCGGCGATGCATGATGTGAAAAATTGTGATGCCTAATCTGCAGTTTTTGCTTCCCTGCAGGGCACGGTGAGAAGCACACTCAATGAAGCTACCTAACTCACCAGAACAGACCACAAACATGAGAATGTTGTGCGACTTCCGAGTATGCTCAGTGTCTGATACAGACATCAAATCGAGTAGTATGTTACTAAAGGCAATAACTGAAAGTTCTGAAAATTCGGATAAGCCCACCATAACGATCCAGCCATATAGCGGGTCCCCAGCTATTATATTTTTCAGTATTAAAATTGCAGGAGGACTTTAAGAGTGGAACGTGGAAGCTAAACAGACAAAGGGTCGTGAGTTCGAATACCGCCTCCGCCTAATATTATTCTAAATTTTTCTTTAAGGCAAATTAAATTAACTTTATAAAGTGAGATCATTTGAGACACCTGGCGACCTTTAATTCATATTACATGCCATGTTTTAATCACTTTCACGTTTCACAGGAGCGTTGTGGGTTGTTTGAAATTTTTGTGCGAAGTGTGGCTGACGTCATGACCCTATTGACCAATCAGGATTTTCTTGTTCCGCCGAAGCCGGCTTTTCTGCGACACAAGCTCCTTAAAGCGTTCGCTTTAATAAAGTGAAGTTGGGTTTTGGCACAACATTAGTGCAAACAGTGCACCAATCGCATTGCTGCAAGGAAGATGACAAGCTATCCAATGTAAAAAAGTAAAAAATAGTGTGCTCTTCTTTCTTAGAATGCCCAGTGTGGAAAGGAAGCACTTGGCTCATTGCCCTGGTGCGCTAGTGCACTCATGTTTAGGAGATTGGCAAGCCTTGAACAACCGCATATGCTGTGGTTGAAGAGCACACTTGAAATGCATACAGATCAAGCTGAAAAATACTGCAGCATATATGAATATTCGTAACTTTAATATCAATCTCAAAAGTGTTCAAACAGAATAAATAAATTAAGGGCAACCACACAATAGTACATATTGCATTCCTTGCAGTCACAATGTGCTGTGAGCAGCTCTTTATGACAAGTACACAGTTCAACAACATTTGCACCAACTCTAGCAGACATGGATATGACCATTTGCTCAAATATGAAAAGTTGCACAACAAAGAAATTTCTTGGCCCCTATAAACAATTCTAAATAAATGATGAACACACAATGATCCCTGTTCAAGGCATAGTTCTATGAAAGCTGAGCGAGATTTGTTATGACTAGCCTTGGAAAAATACTGAAGTTGCACCGCCTTGAAATGCGAGTCAACACAGCTGTGCCAAAACGGTGGAACTAGTAACTTGCTCACGCAAAAAGCACTGCAGCCAAAATACCTTTTTGTTGACTTAAAATATTAATTACAAGCAAAACCAGACTTCTTTGCAAACATTTTCATACACACATGACATTTTGTTTCACTACCGCATAAACCATTCAATTTGCGGTTCTATATGCGTGTTTTAAATGGGCACTGGAGTGGTTTTTGTGTTCATATTTTTATGGCAATCACTGAGTCCACACACCCTAGGCATCCTCCTGTATCTAAATTTACAACCATGTGGCTTTTCTTGCCTATTAAAAATTTTACCAAACGTAAGGACATTCCCCTTTTTCTGAGATCTTAGAAAAAAGGGGCATGAACAGCTTGGTCGTGTTTTTAATAGAAAAAAAAGGTCATGGATGATCATAACGTTGGACTTTTTAGGATGCTTGCAGTAGACAGACTAAGTTTGCACCATAAAAAGACAAAACACAACAACCACTTCAGTGCCCTTTAAAGTAAAAACAAGAGGGTCTTTACCTTCAAAAACAATTTGACAAGGACCTCGCAATCTCAGTATGGCACCCAACAACACTTGTGTCCACAAAGCCACCAGACGTCAACAACCCAAGACTGAAAAACTGTCTGCTGAGCACGACACCGGACGCCTTTACACAGCGCCATCCACCGCAAACAAAAGGAGCCAAACCACGAAATAAAACGCCCGCCTCAAACACACAAACACACGCTGCCTCGCATCTCACTTTGGCCGAAAAGCCGAAGACAAATCCGACGGCGACGGAGAGGAAGGGAGGCCGGCCCAGCCGAGACAAGACCAGCATGACCAGATGCAGCCGACTCCGGCCGGCTGCGCAGGGTGCGCCTTGCACGGCTTAGTCCGTCTTGATGCTGGTGTAGAGGTAGCGCACGAACCTGTAGGCCGAAAAGAAGCTCACAGTCCCAAGGGTGAGGAAGAAGATGTAGGCCGTGAGGATGGTATAGCCATAGAACTCGACGGCCTGCAAGGCACCCCCCATGTTGGAGCGGAAGAAGTAGAAGAACAGGGCGTACAGGAACACAAAGAGACCTGTCGACCTGCGGGGAACAAAAAGAAAGAGGTGAGGAGCCCACCAGTCATTAGCACACCGAACCTACTGCTCGGTGCGAAGAAGCTGCCTCCGACTGGTCTGTTCACCACATCTCAAGCTGGTGACATCGCAACTGCGCAACTACGTCCGCGGTGATGCAACAGCAGACGTGCATACGGCAGATTAGAGCCACGAAATGAGCTATGTTTTAGATTAACGACACTTCGGCCACTTTGGTTGCCAGGTATCTGAACCTGCATCCGAAATTGCTGGGAACAACTTTCCCGTCTTCCACAAAAGTCTGAACGGTCCGCGGTGGAGGAAAACAACATTGCCCGAGCTTTTCGACGCTGCATCTGAAGCTGGGGAAATTGCACTTCCAAATCGTATTAACTATCGCCATTTGCACCAGCTCTGCTATGAGCAACGAAGTGGCAGCGCCCCTAAGATGACGGGGAGTTTTAGAATCACAAAGAATAACATTGTTACCGCTGCATATGCGTCGAATGCTAACCGCATGTTGCGCTGTGTAAACTTTATTTTTGCGAACGCCAATTTTTTAAAACTTATGCGCGTACACAAGGAGTTTGCGTTCCTCCGAGGTGGATTCGTGACGAGCAAGAAGTTGGCTAAAGCCAAGACAAACACAGAAAATGGCAGGTCTTACGGGATTGTGGCGGTCGTGATGGCTTTAGCAGCCGCTGTGAGCGCGACATTAGCGGCGTCCTCTGACGCGGTGCACGCCAGAAACGTTTGGAAGACCCGGAGAGGTGGGCAACAATCGCCGGCAACTCGCTGCTTGCAACACGCGGTGCGACGTGAGGGGATACGACTGGTCGACCGCTCGTGTCTGATTTTCATATCTCAACGAATTACAAATGTTGCTCTGAACCAAAAAATTTTGCTTTTCTCAAGTTACAGCATTTTGTGTGTGAAACAAAAGTTGTCAGTGTATCTTGGTGCCGTCGCAAGAGCGAAACGCTCGAGCTTTGCGTTGCAGCGGAGAAACGCTGTTCCAGCTCTCTTGCATAACGAACACTAATAGAAGCACTTTTATGCACTAAAAGTGTGTATGTTATTCTAAAACCCCCGAACCTTATGATGTAGTGCTGATAATTCAAAGCTATCAGTTCTCTAACCAAGTTCCCAGGAACCTGGAGGCTTCCCAGGGTACCTTCAGGGGATTCCCCGAGATCCCCGACAGTCTGGAATGGCCCTGTCGCCAAGTAAACTTTTGTCTCAGTTTAAGTGCTCCTATCACCAAATCATTTATTTCAACTCCGTGCCATATAGTCTCTAGTATCAGAATTACTGTGTGCAATGTGCATAGGCTTCTGCCCTGCTTCGTCGCATCAACGCCAACACTGGGTGGTGTTTTCTGGCTGTCATCAAATGCATATTAATGTTCTTTGGGATCAAAGGGATTGATCCCTGCTCTAAGCGTAGCTTATTTATGGGGAATTCCCTCTGCAAATACAGAGCTATCCAAAAGCGCCTCATGCTCGCGCCTTTATCGCGGTAGGTGCGAGCACCCTTAAACAACTCTAAACCCACCAAAGAAGCTCCCTATTAGTAGAGCTACGACAGAAAACTGTTCTACTGCAGCTTTGCAAAAGGCCAGCAAACAAAAACCCCGGTAGCCACAAGTGATGCGACGCCTGCGTCACGTCGTCTTCTACGGGTGGTTCGACGACCACAACCAAACGCCAGGATTGCAGCAAATATGCATAGAATTGTGGCAATCCTTCCGGTCGGTGTTCTGGGAACGCCCTGACGCAAGGGCAGCATGGGATGCAGAGCACGCCAGTTGGACAGATGACCCAGGCACTGTGATTTAACCCCTGCACTGCCGAGCCGTCGTGCTCACCCTCCCGTGCAGACGGAGCGCCACCACCAGTGGTAGTCCTCGGCCGAGAGCTGGAAGTAGGTGAGGGCCACCGAGATGCTGGCCGTCACGCTCAGCAGGATGATGGCCACCAGCAGCAGGATGCCGTACAGCGTGTAGTGCTCCCGCCCCCACACCGTCGAGAAGATGTAGTACAGCTCCACCGAGATGGCACTGGGCAGGGAGACGGGGGCTTCAGCGGTTTGTTTGTGGACGGTCGAGCTTGTACAGTCGCTCCCACAAAACATTAAAATTACAGGGAGACTGAAGCGAGGGCTTCAACCCTCCGTTTGTGGGCTGTCGAGCCTGGACGGTCGCAGGGAGAGGATTATGTTGAAAAAAAATGAGAAAGGACACCAAGTGCCTGAGCGTAACGCGTTCTACGAAGAAATTGCTGACAGTGGGGAAGTTAGAAGAGAACGCCAACGGAGAATGTGGAAGAAGACGTGCGACTTCACCGGAATGGTTTGTTGAGCAACGCCATAAAAGAGTATAATTTGTTTCCTAAAGTATTCATTCCTGAATAAAGCCAGTTGTATACTTCTACATATAACAAAAGCTTTTGTGGCATGCTGGAAAAAATGGGAACGGGGAAAAGTGTGTGTCCCAGTATGCTTCCGCATCATATTCTGTTGGGGTTCCACTTCCCTAATATGCATGGGCAGTAGGCTCAATGAAGTGACCATGAGAGCAAATAGTGATTGCTCTTTTCATCTAACTGTCGTTTCCCCAGCCCCATTGCAGTGCGCAATACTTCACGCAGCCTTTTTTTTTTACATTCCCAGATGTGGTCCATCGCGTATAGATGGAGCCACTAGTCATGCTCCATGATAATGTCTTGTCGCACCAAAATGTAGCATCTTTGTTGTTATGGTCAGCAGGAATCTTTCTCTCCCTTTCTTAGCATCTTTCAATTGAAGAGAGCAGAGAGCACTTCTGCATGTGCTACAGATCATCAGATAATCTATAATGAGCATAAAGGCAACCTTCAAGAAGACACCGTGGAGTTTTCTTGTTCCTACCAAGTCTCAGACTCCAGTGGGAACCTCCCTTTTTCTAAACGCAGGTCAGCCTTTAAGCAAGCGTTTCTGGTTTGTGCTTTATTAGCTTTGATGAACGAAGCCTCATCTGGACATTTTGTGTGATCTTGTCACAACTTATCTAACCTCCAAGCGACATGCAAGAAGCCACCCCCAGAGAATGTGCCCCACCTGAAAGGCAGGAACCCCCCGACGAAGCAGTGGACGGGCAGGGAGTGGTACCAAGGCACGGGGGGGACGCCGCGGGCAATCAGCTTTGCCCGGCAGGGGGCCTCAAAGGGGCCCGCCCAGTTCTTGCCCAAGATGCCCCCCATCAGGGTCAGTGGGTAGCCACCTGCAAGACCCAAAACGATCGACCCCAATTCTCACAACAAACGCAGACGTAGACGAAAAGAAGCCGTAACATGCAGACAGTGCTCATCGTTCATGCTGGTGCAACTGGACCGTGTTATGGTGAACATGTACATGGGTCCCTCATGCAGACAAATCTTTCTCCTAACAACACCAGGTGGTGACACAGGCAAGTACAGGTTTCTTTGAACCAGAATGTGCCACCAGCAACCCCGTCTTTGCTGCTTCATCATTAGGCAAGTTCAAATTGCAACTTCCTGCAGAGGCATACATAGCAGAACCATGAGCCAATTAATACACTAGAGCAGTGGTCTCAAACTCATTCACGTGTGGAGGCCAGATGGCACGCCCAAAAGGCCGAGGGACAACGGGGCGGGGGTTATGAAAAAGATCATTAGCGGCGTCTTACGTTGCAAAGCAGCCGACCGTCCCAGAGACACCACAGAGATTTCTAGAAAGAGAACCTTGTGCTCCCTGTTTTTTGTAAGCTAACCGTTTTACCATCTTCAGCTTTCGCTTGCATATACAACTACTTTGAGCCCACCCATGATATTGTAACACTATTTGAAACACAAACAAACATGCAGTTTTCAAGTAAAACGAGACCAAGCACACCGCCCTTGCCCCATCGCACACATCATTAGGCTCAACAGGTATATAAAGAAATATATTTCAGACAGCAATTTTTTGCCTTCCCGACGATCTTTTTGTCAACATTATAAGAAAATATGTGTACTTTAAAGGTATTGTCGGTCAGCTAGGAGCCTGAGCTAATAGCTTTAGCATTACCAGTTCCTCCTGTTGAGCGAGAGTTCGTAGAGCCGAGGTGCCTCCTTGAGCAAAGCGCCTGCACTTGTAGCCCAGTAGTGGTATTGCCGTGCCGGTTGTAATCAAATATTTATACGAAGCAATACTCAGTCCAAAAGAAAACAGAATAATGCAAGTTGTGTGAACAAGTTATATGAGCAGAGCTCTTTTTCAAGCGGAAATGAATATACAAGGGTGGAACTCATGAAATGTACTCAGGTGCAGCCACGGGAGCAGCTGAAACAGCTGTTTTGGAGCAGGTTGGGAGCAGCTAAAACTACACTCTGGAGCAGGCTAGGAGCAGCTCAGATCAGTTTTCATATCACTACAGCTTGTGTCTTAGACGAGCACGGGAGCAATTTCAATTGTGCTTAGCAGCACAGATAAACATGAGTGGTTAGAAACTTAGGTAGATGGGATAACAGTGTAACATATGCGAAAGCTTGAAACTTTGTGAGCCTTAATGAGAACCAAAAAACAAGTACCATACGTTTCTGAAGATAGCGTCCTTGATATTTTCTGAGTGGCTTTCAGCTGCTCAAAATTCAAACCAGCACTGCTTATCGCACAACCTGCACGTGCTCAACATAGTAATTATATGTGCGCACCACGTGACTTGCATAAGAAGCGGACGTGCAGTTACTAGGAGGAACAGGGTAACAAATTTCGAGTTCATCCTATTGTGTATCTCAATATCGAAGCACCAGACTACAATTAACGGAGTTATCGTATTCGAAGTGATAAGCAGGAGCAAGGTTAAAGTACGCCGCTGGCCGGCAAGGTTAAAGAGCTGCTGGCCGGCAAGGTTTCGAATCGGACCGCGTTTCAGTTCTATCAAATCACGATTTATCTTGCGGGAATGTGGTTCGAACTTCTAATGATGAAGTACGAAAAGGAATCTTTTCTCTTTTTTTTTTTTTTTTCAGCTGGCCGACGTTTGGATCCGGGGCCGCAGAGACTCGACCTCACCTTGGCCGACTTGCTTAACCGCTTATAATTGAAGAATAAGAATCCAGTCGCAGGTGGTGTAGCGCTTGGAATCCGACCCCCAAGTGTTTTCGCGCGCTTCCGACTCGGGATACACAGGGAGAATAAACAGAACAATGGATCGCAAGGCCGACCAAGCTGTTGCCAATCGAGTCGATAGAAACCGAAACCAAGATAAAATACAATTCTTTTGGCGCATATTTCGCGATTTGGGGCATAATGGCGCGAGGTATAGGCTGTGGCGCAGTTTCTGCAACATGGCGCAGGATGGCGCAGACAAATGCGTCCGGCGCGAAATGGCGCAAATGGCGCAGCCGTTCCACCCCTGATATATTAAACTATTGTTTTTAGCGCATGCTTCACTTGAGGCATAGGAACGGGGGCTCGCGGCTGCATGTTTGGGACTCCTGCGCTAGAGCATCTCGGAACATATGCTGGAACCATAGAGCTGCTCCCGGACAAATGCTATAGGTGTTCCGTACCTAACTGGCAACACATAGTATCACAGATAACGTGACCACTGCAGTTTTTAACCATTAGGCAAGTTCAACTTACAACTCCCTGCATTGGTATACAGGGCATGGCCGTGACTCATCGAATTCACTAATCCAAACCAGAATGCTCCTCCCTGAGCAATAATATGTTTTCTGTGCTTAACTGCTGATAAGGACCACACACGAGGCGTGGATTAAACTATGTATTACTATCTCTGGAACATTTTAGCAGCGGTGGAGGGCTCAAGCTGCCGGCACGGAGTGGCTCAAGCGTACACTGCGTGCAGTGTCAGGAGCGAGTATACAAGGGTGTGCCATGCCATGCACACAACACTCACAGCAGACCCAGATGAGAAAGAGCAACACGACGGTGGTTGCTGGAAGGGCCTGAGTAGAATTGTAGATCCACGCCGTGGAGTTCTGGATGCTCCAAACCACAAACAATGGAGCTGCAAAGTGAAGAGAGAAGCACAAATTACCTGGGTAAAGGTAAGACACAGAATGAATGAATATCGCCTAATTGGTCTTCGGTGCACTTCAGCATTCCATGTGCGGTCAAGATCATGCGCCTAAGGTTTGGTTTGTGGACAATGGTGGAAGCAAATTTTGGGTGGTTTACGTGCCGAGTCAACCAAGGGCACACCTAAGCAATGAACTCGAGTGCAATGAGAGTTGTGGGGCACCTGCAACAATTGTGGACACCTGATACAATATGCAGATACACAGAAGATAAAACAAAAAGCCACGACTATCACACTATTCCCATAGCACTTGTAGCAATGCATGCATCAATGGAATCTCCCAATGATGTATAGACCAAAAGAAAGTGAGAGAAAGAAAGAAAATCTATAGCTTCAATTTCATGGCCCCATCTGACGCAACCCAAAAAGCTACACTGCAGCAGTTGCACTGCATTGAGTGTATACCATGTTTGCACGATTCTAACGTGCACTTTTTTTCGCCAAGATCGGTGCCCAGAACTACATGCGCGTTACAATCAAAACTAAAAACCGAAACTCCAAAATATTCGGTATGAGGTGGCTAGCCCCATCACCATCATGGCTGTTTGTTTACGGTCGCCATTTTGGTATCTGTATCACATGCTTTTTCTCTCATCTACGGACTTGTGTCTGCCGTTTTAAGATTGAAAAACAAGAAATTTCACCAGGAGGTTTTATTTAAAAAAAAAGGCCATCACGCTGGAGGAGAAAACAGATAACAACGAAGCAGCACTGCATGGCCTTGCAATCCCAGTGACCCAATGAGCTAGGAAAGTGTTGTTTGGAAGATAACCCTCCCAGAGGGCACTGGTCGCGCAATCGCACAAATGCAAACGCAAGGATTACCTGTGTGGACAGCAAAAATTCATTGTCAGGTTCTGACAACGAGGACTTGTGCACGGCATTTATTTCCGTGTTGGCGTGGGTTTCATACAATCTGTTCTATGAGATATGTGTTCAATCTGGATTATCTTACCTGCGTGGTAGAATCGGCAGCAATTTAGTTTTTGAATATCTGGAAGCTAAATTTGCCTGTGCATTAGAATTGGGGGCACCTTAGAGTTGTGCAAACACGGTAATTGCCTGTCTATGCACTGTAAGCAAGCATAGACAGGCAATTATGCTCAAAAGGAGCTTCAGAATGTATGGACCGACACTCTGTTTAGAAACGAGCCTGCATTTGCCCACACCGGGTGTGGGCACTGCGCGAGCGCCGAAGCCATATTTGCGTGAAGTGAAGCTTCTGCGCTTGCACTATGGCGACAGCAGCGCCACCGCAGAGGCATGACGTCAGAGCCATGCGTTGGTCTATAAATGGATTCGACAATGTTAAAACAGGCCTTCTGGAGAAGGAACGTCAAGCAATGGGTACGCACCAAAGAAGAGGCAGGACACCAGGTTGACGTTGAGAACCCAGCTCGTGCCTCCCATTTGGCGGTACATCTTCGAGGAGACGAAGCCAGCAATACCTGCAAGCATTTAGAGAGTCCGCAAATGTTAGGCTGCTCTATTGCATCGGGATGCATAAACGAAGCAGTTCGCCACACCAGCCCACCTGACGGTACTTTTTCAAACCATCTATATGCTCTTTTAAAGGGAAGCTGAAACACTTCTTGAAAAAAACGAGTTAGAGGTGAATTCTGGCGTATTTTTATCCCGGGAATCTGAATATCACTTTTGTTTTCCCCGAAGATGCAACTAAAAGTGAGAAAAAGCGAAAAAACATTCGACCAGTCGTGACGTCATACTAGGATCTTCGGGCCTCCAAGCGCGTGTCGCTCGTGTGTTCAGCGCGTGCAACGGCAAGCTTGCCAGGTATATTTCCCCGCACTGACACCAGTCGTGACGTCTCTTTCTGACCTTTCTGAAAATAGCAAGAGTGCGCGTGCATAGCTTTGACAGGCGCTGAAGATGCGCGAGAGCAGATATTCCGAACGCTCCTAGTGTGACGTCACGCCCCGGGAAGGAGGGGCTTCGGCGGTACTTTAAAAATTAATTTCTGAAGCCTCCGTGCACCAAATTGAAAAATAATCTTGATATTCCTGATCCTGGAGGTAGAATGAAGGCCATTGAAATGTTTTTTTCTCAAATAGAGAACCGCTTCAGTTTCCCTTTAACTGTTTAGAAATTTCTCAATAGTTCACCTGGCAACCCGAAAAACGCACCGAAAATATAGATAAAAAAGAAAACAAAAAAACTGAAGGATTTTGAGAGATAGTCCACCTGAAATCGAAACAGATGCGACTTTGAGCTTAATATACGTGAAGACGTTTTGAAGACGGCTTCCGCCCATTTTTCTTTTTTCTTCGATAGATAAATGGCAAATAAAAAAAAATATATTGGGGATTGTTTCTGTGAGGAAGGTTTGATTTAAATCATTGTAAAAAAAATGCGACTAAAATCCCGACTTAAATTATGATTTAAATTACAATGATTTCTTGATTTTTATTCTCCACCCTAGCTCCTAGGAGCTTGAGGGGTTACAAGAATCAGCCCAAAAGTTCCCTGATCTCCCAAATCTCCTTGGTCATCCCTGCAATTTGAGCAAAGTGCTTTTTCAGTTTAAGTGCTGTTCTAGAAGATCTGAACCATCTACTGATGCATAACTATGTGCCAAAGACTTCATTGTACGTGCATCATTGCTTACAATGTCTGTAGGTTTCTGCATTGCTTTACTGCTTCAATACCAAGACTATGTAGGGTTTGTCACCTATCAATCGAGAGAAACAGATGCACCATGAGAGAGAAAGGCATGAAAGCCCCTGAACTAGAGGACAAAAAAAAAATTGACCGCATCTCCACGTGGTGAACGATGTTGATGGGGCGAAGCTCTGGTGGTGCTTGTCTGCGTAGACGCTGAGCCGCAGCCATGCCGAGCCTTTTGTTCGTTTTCATCCATGTCAGAAAGAGGATGTGTGGTATGGAATGTGGTTATATACGCATTTGAGCATTTGACCGCAGCGCCCTCTCGTCTATAAACGTTGAGCCAATGCATGCAAAGTTTAACGCGATTATGTACGCATTTGGCCGCAGCGCCCTCTCCTGTATAGACGTTGAGCGGCTACATGCAACGTTTCATCCATGACATCCCCAGCTCTTGAGTTACTACCACATCTCAGAGCCCCCTACTCGTCCCGCAGTTGTGGCCGAGTGGTGAAGGCGATGGACTAGAAATCCATTGGGGTCTCCCCGCACAGGTTTGAATCCTGTTGACTGCGCTAACATTTTTTTTTCATCACTTTTTTTTTTTTTTTTTTGCCTTACACGAGCATATGAGCACGTGAGCTCAGAAGCCCGAGCACCAGCAAGATCGATGTGAGCACCGACGCTGGAAGGACAAGGCTAGACCCTAAGGAGCTTCGCCCCTAAAATGTATGTTGAGAATTGTGCGACTGTTTTTTCTTCGTCACCACTGCAGTTACACCATTACTTCAGTTTGTGAGGCATCACTTTTTAAGATAAAAGTGCGATAATCGACGAATTTGTTGTCTTCTAGGCTACGCACTCGCTGCCAAAGGCTGAATAGCTTGTGAAGCATTTTTGAAGATGACGTAATAATGCAGGCGAGCTGGTCAAAGCTAAACATTTCTAAAACCCAAGACGGCGGCTACAAAGAGCAGACAAAACGCAAGAAGTCTCAAAACATTTTCAGCATGTTTCCAGTTCCAAGATAGACATCTTGTTGAGAATCTTGTGTTTGTCCCCTTTTCGTAACCTCAGTCTCGGGTTTTAGAAATGTGAAGCATTCTTAATGCATATTTTCATCCAATGAATAACGTTGGGAAGCACAGAATGTGTGGCGTGTTTCGAGCTGTGCCAGGCATTTATTCATTAGCTTTCCAGTCCTCAGAAATCTTTTAAATCTGGCGGGCCGTCTTTTGCTTGCCGAGCTTGGTGGTCGTGCGACAGTTTGTCGTGACACTCTTTCGCGACGTCACGTTCTTCTCGAGGGAAACTGGCCCCACAACGCATCCTGCGTTAAAATAATGTTTAAAAAAAAATGCGGGTCTCAGCAGGAACTTACAGGAAGTGAGTGCATACAAGACGCAGATGGCCGTGTTCATGGAGCCGTGGTTGTGGACGTTGAACAGGCTCAAGAGAGCCATGAGCAGTACGCCAGCAGCAATGCACAGGAACTGGGTGCCCACACCTGAAACAAAACAAAAAGGGGTCAGTCCGCTACGACTAGCTGCCCGCCCACTGCGGAAGAAAGTGAGCACACGCGCTTTCCTCACAAAAAGAACGCCCAATTTTAATCACAATCTTTGTAGCACCACAAGTGCACCAGTAAGGTTTCATACATCCGGGTTGATTTTTTTCCCACAGGTTCTGTGCATTCGTAACAGAGCACAAGACGAAATGCAAGTACCAGTCCATTTACGGCAAGCAGTAACTCCTCGTCTGCGCTCAGAGACCCTGAAACTGGAAACGCGCCCAAAACTCTGGAAGGGAAAGCGAGACGCCGGTGCTCCACCATTGCTCCAACTCACCCAAGATGGCGCAAAGGAGGTTCTTGTAGGCGGGAAAGCGGAAAACGTCCGAGTGGATGATCTTCCAGCCGTACTCTTCCACGTCCATTTCCGCCTTGCTGTCCATCGCGTTGTAGCGGGCAAAGTCATTCCTCAGGACACGAGCCTGGAAAAGTCACCGGCACGAAACGATCAGCTGAATGAACGCTGCTCCAATACAGGCCAAAGTGGGAGCTGTTTGGCGGTTAGCGTGTGCAGTGCGACAGTTTGGTAAAAATTAAAAGAATGCACAGTACGCACTCAACTGCATAAAACAATGCACAGAAGTCACAGCTTGCTTTACCGAAGTCGCAGCACGCTAGCCAGGTCTTCAGCTGAATCCCCAACTACTTTTCAAACCATGTTTGTGTTGCTACTGTGGTGATGTTATTGAACTTAAATGTTACTCCAAATGTATGTTATCTAAAACATATGTTTTAGACACCGCAGCTGTTCACAACAGTTATTTTTAATATCCTGCAAACAAAGGCTGCTAGCTGTCTCTACAAATGAACGTTACTTCCAGACAATCTCTGAAAATTTTTTCTGATGTCACTCCTCTCCACAAACATTTTGTTTTACCCGCTTTACTTTCTTAATTGCACGCTGAAATGTGTTCTTTCCCATAAGGTTGAACCAAAACATTTAAGTGCTTGGCCGTTCCTTATCCATCTTCAAATGCTATAAATATCAAGTAACAAACATACCCATCACCTCATAGATCCAAATCATGAAAAGTGCCATCTTATGGGCCAGCGTTTGCGTGAGTGCTCGTGCAAGCACCCCCCTCTTGTGTGTGCCTCAAACAATGCTACACAAAACTCTTGAAAGGGAATACTGTCCACCTAGAATAAAAGTCTAATAGCTAAGCAAATTTTAGGAATAGACTCGTAAAGGAAAAGTGTAGGTTTGGTAAATAGCGAAAGAACCAAATAAGTTTATCATAATCATCCATCTAAAAAAAACGTTACTCACGAGGATGATGCCAATGAAACCCAGCAACAGCACGATGAGCACGGTGGAATTGAGGACCGAGAGCCAGTGGATCTGGACGACAGCGGACAAAAACGACGACCACAGTTTATTAACCCTCCTCTTACACAAGGCGAAAGCGGTGGTAACATGGAATGTATTGTGCGTGAGAGCTTTGCACAGGGCTGGGCCAACCCGAAAGCCCGGGCCAGGTAGCACGGATTGTTTCCGGGCCAGGGTTGGGCTCGGGCGTTGGTGTAGCACACTTTCTAAAACGTTGTGAAGAAAATGTTAATGCATTGGTCGTTTAGATTTGAAAGAAATGAAAAAGCCGATGTGCAAACTAGGGTATGACATTACTAAAAGAATCTTAGAAATAAAGAAAGCTGTCTTGGGCATTAAAAAAGCCCACAAGTGCAGTGCAACCTAAGCACAAGTGCCAGGAGTGAAAGAAATTTCAGCGCAGCTGAATATGTCGTGAATGAACAACGAACCTGCCTGAAGCAAGAGTCCCTAGACAATCTTTCGTTTCTACATAAGAACACGTAAGTACAGAACATTTTTAAGCCATCATAACTTCAGTTCGTACTGGACTGTGTAGCATCTGGGACATGTATATGCGCTATAATGTCACTAAACATTTCTTCATCTTTTGAATGAGTGCTGTTAAAATTTCTATGTTGACATTCACATTTTTATGCCGATGTCTTGCCAGCGTCTTTCACTCAAATTAGGCTAAACGAATTGAATGCACCAACACCATCCCAGGGCAGCTTTGAATTTAAGAGATGAGATACGCCTTGACCTCATAGCGCCGGGCCCGGGCTGAGCCCGATCAGGAAGGCATCCCATTGGGTTGGCTGCGGGCTGGGTCCGGGCCGGGTGTGGTCCGGACCTAATTAGATAGGCATCCCATCAGGCCGGTTTCGAGTCAGGTAAGACTAAGAGACAGTGGGCTTGGGGCGAATTTGTCCTTACAAACTAGGCCCGTGCAGTGCTCTATTGTGCGCTGCAATGCCCCGATGTTGCACAGATGAACCTGGTACACATTTGCTGCCTCGCCAGCATGAGCGCCGCCGTGCATAGCGTCTCTGGACGAAAGCCCTGCCAAGGCTAGCACTCCATCCGGAGCGGAATGTGAGGTTTGCACTTCTGGTGGTTGCACACCCCAGTTTTGACACTGCTATGTCTCCCCACTTCCCCCAAAGCATGTCCGTGTTCACTCTCAACATATCTTGAGAGCATGCTCGCTCAACGCCGCCTAGATAATGCAGCTGGGGCGCTTAATTTCTTACGTTTGCTCAATTGCTTAATTTTCCTCGGAGCGCAGATTAAACGCAAGTGCTTTTAATCTGCGCTCCCCCCCCCCTCAATCAACATGACCAGGAGTTCCGGACGAACGTTGACACAGCGCTCGTATCCAATCTGTGCACTACGGGATGCTCTTCCATTACATGAGTGTTACAGAAATAGGTTACGGGAGTGTGTTACAGGAGGCTGCCAAGAGCCAGCCTTATAACAAGACCCACGTTTAAAAAAAATGGCCGAGGCACTCTGTAACTTTTAGGCTGCACTGCGGGCGCGACGATTACGAGCCGCCACATACCTCCAGAGACTGTGGGAAGAAAGCGTGGCCCGAGGCAGCGCTGGCGCTGCCCGCCTGCTCTCGCTCGGTGACGTTGGTGGGCAGCCAGCGGACCGAGTAGGTGTGTGTGATGTCCAGCGGCGCCACCAGGTCGTTGAGCAGCAGCGCGGTGCCGTCGGTCACGGTCACATTGGCCGACATCACCTGGGCGGGCGGTGGAGCGGATGGTGAAGAACACAATGCATTTGAAAATATAAAAGTTGAACATATTAAATGATTCTAGAAACATTATGAAATGTGAGTAAACGGCACGGGTGAACTGGCAATAGGCCGTCGTAATATCACGTTTTTGGGAAACCTTTTTTTTTTTCTATGTCAGGGTCATTATTACTATACTATCGGTACTTCAAATATGCGTAATTTACACCGCAATTACATGTATACTTCGACCTTGTTTTACCCTATCCATATATTTGCTATATGGCTCTGCTATAGAGAAATACTAGTGCACTGTTATTCATGTACTCCCCTATTTAGAGAGAGTTTCCAGACATTATATGCTACACATAGACAAGTGTGAGCACACTATTCTCCCATCGACAGAACCTTGTGATAGAATAACAAACATTTTAGAACATATTTTTCAAATACATTACAGTATAGAATGTCAGGGAAGAGAGCTGGTAATATAATTAGACGTCACATTTTCGCTGTACCTACCGTGAAATACCGGGAAAACATCCACCCCACTTTCACTGAAAACTAGGTACATCTAGACACGGGTGCTTGTCCAGTCAAATTGTTGAAACCAAGATGGCAACAAATAAAGAGCTTTGAAGGCAGGGTGAACAGAATCTAACAAAGCACATTGATTTTCACGTGATATCCCCGTCATCGCCACTGTCAATCTCATGGCCGCCGCAATGGTTTGAATATTTTTGCCTGATTCCGGCGCTTTGGAAGGAATGGGTGTCAACATATAATTTGCAGATTTCCCAAGTTTGGTAAAATGTTAAGAGTGTGCATTTTAGTGAAGTGGGCACTTCTGCGCTATTTTATGGCGAATGCCATTTTCTCAAATGTTTGCTAATATGCATTCTCCTATCTAGGAATGGGTCGGTAGAGAATTTGCACTCGAAAAAGTTAGTATGAGGCTGCTTTTAAGTCGCAGGGCACGGGAAGTGTCTAAGTTCCATCTGACGAAAACAATGCCAGTAGGCAATCACCTAAGTGCAGGCAGCCATACAAGTATTGATGGAGAACGGTAGCACTCACACGTCCGCCATTGTACTCAATGTTGAAGGTCAGGTGCGTCCACAGGTAGAGCTTGTGCTTGTGCGGAATGAGGCCGCCCTCTTCCAGGTGACCAATGAATCCCCAGAGCCTGAGGCCATCTGCGGAGCGAGCCAATGCGGCACTCACGAAAAGACTAAGACATGAGCTCTCAAACAGGGTACTACAGAGTACCTCTAAAAATTTTCTCCAAGCCTCACGAACAATGTTTCTGTTCTGCTTGGAGCATAATCTAAAAATAGCTGAGTTTTGTGTCGAGACAAAATTGCGAGCCCAACGTTGCCAACCTTCGTCACAAGTAAGTGCGTTACTGTTAAAGACCAACCTATGGTTTGGCAAACAGTCTCTTCGAAGCTTCCAGTTTCAAAAACATGGTTTGTTGACCATGTTGGAATGCTCGAGGACGACTTCCTGGGGCTATGCAATCAAAGTTTTGGGTGCCTGTGCATTTGTATCCTGAGTGCCAATCAAGGCTACGCACGCAGACTCTTCTCTCCTTCAGAGGCAGCACTGAAAGTTGTCCTGATTATAGCGGCTAGCCTGCGGTGCGACAATAAAGGGGCGGAGAGCCAAGAAAACAACTCACCTATGACAAACTCAAAGTAGTAGAGGTCTTCAATGGCAACCTTAAGTTTCTTAAACTCGTCTTCCGACAGGTGCACTGTGCAGAGAACCTTTTTCTCCACTGGCACTGAAGAAAAAAAGAGAAAAGAAAGAAATCAGAAACAATTTCACCTTGCACGAACAATACTGATCTTGCATAATTCGCAGAAAATTGCGGCGACGGATCCCATTTCTAACAGAATTTTTAGTTTTGTACTGAATCAGGTGATGCTTTCAGGTCAGAATCTTCAGATGAAATTCATCTGTTTCCAATTGAACCTTTAACTGAATTTCTATGTGACTAGGTAGTTGCTTCTAGCTACTTACATGACCCACTCTCGAGAAAAACTAATAAATATTCACCTTTAAAGTCAAGTTCGTACAGGGACTCCGCCATGCGATCTCCATCCAGAACCTCCCCAAGTGTCAAACTTCGTGCCACAATCTGGGAAAAAGAGAAACCTTAAAGTTTACAATAAAGATATACCAGAATGTCTATTAAGGTGCGTGCTGTCCAGTGGTGGCAAAAGTGTTCAGGAGAATGGGGACGATGAAACAGGGAGGGAGATTTCCTTCCTCTTCCCCCAAATATTTTACAAAAAATGTCAAAAAGGTGTGCCCCCCACTCCCTTTTCCCAACCCACCACCCTTGTTTCGGCTTCACTGGTGTTGCAAACAACACGACAGCTTAAGACAACACAAGATTCTCCCAAACCATACTGTGCTACTTCTGCATTATCTGTTAACACAATACATTGAAAATAATCAACATACCTTTCTCCTACAAGTCCTCCATAAACAAAATTCTGCCATATTAAAAACTTGAGCAACAAAAAGGTTGTATTGCCCAATGAGAAATAAAGCAAAATGAGGAGAGTGGTGGAAGTGAGATTTTACTTTTTGTAGCAGATTTTGTAGGAGGAAAAATGTTGGTTTGGAGCAGCCATTGACTCTTTTGGAGCAGATCCCAACATGTGTTAGCACATCACTTAAAACTTTAACGATACATGAGCCAATCTTTGAGACTAAGGCTTTGATGGTTTATCTTTTACATTGAAGTTTATTACTTATTACCTTTTGTAATTAATACATATAAATAATCATAAAAAGTACAAAATGGAAAACAACAGCTTTTTTTAGGGCTCAGGCCAAAATAGATTTTGTTTACGATGGGGATAAAGAAAAGAAAAGATTGAGAAATGAATCATAGGAAGATACTTCAGTTGAAATAAAGTGTCTTTCTCATACACTCTTTTACGCTCATAGTTAACGTAGCCAGTCAATATCATTTATGTAAAAGTCCACATAAAACTAGTATCTCCACTAAAATGTTGATTAATAGAAATATGTTCCACCAAGACTTATGAACCTACAAAACTTAAGTACCTAATATCATAAACTGTAAATACCCCCCCCCCCCCTCAAAAAAAAAAAAAAAAAGTATACATACAGTGTAGGCGAAATGGATTGAATATACTTTAAACTGACCGCATGCATTGGTTTCCTAACTTATCGCGCTGGGGTTTACAACAAAGGTGCTCGAAGCTGGTGCATTCCTTAATTGAGAGTACGAATACAGAAAGCCTCCAGAGTCAAAAGAAAACAAAAACTGGTTTTGTCTATGGAAAAATTATCCCTAAGCGTTTTATCTCAAAATCATCAGAAAATCGTTGCAGGCTATTCTGGCCTTTACTATGATTCAAAATTTGTGAAATGGAAAGAAAATAAAATTGGCTTACCTATTCTTTACTTCACTTGGCCCAAAAGTGTTACTGTGGCCCACTTGGCCACAGTAACACTTTTTTTTTAATATATTTTTTTTGTTTACATGCAAAGTATAGAGAAAACTTGGTTTTAGATTTTTCTTGATTCACTCAGGTAAGCCAATTTTTCCACAATTTTAGCGAAAGCTTCCACCGATTTCAGGCACCTCTGTCATAAATATCAGCGCGATGAACTAAGAAACCGATTTACGCGGTCAGTTTGAAACGCGTTCGATCCATTTCGCCCACATTGTATATGTATATATATATATAAAGTCGAAAAGTGACATAAGAGTAAAGACGCAGGCGAGTTGGTGAACAATCCTAATTCTTAATGAAAAGTGACACTCCTCCTTCTGCAAGAGTTACCGGCACTGGAGCCAGAGCTGAGTCGGAGTTCGGAGGCCTTTCGATCGACTACTGCAAGGTAAGCAACCTCATGCACTCACTCAATTATAAGTCCTTGTTTCTTATTTCGTTTTCCTCTCTTGGCGCCGCTCTTTAAAATTAGACGTCGACTTACAATCGCGACCAAAAACGTTTGCTCTGTAAGAGCACAGCGCGTAATTTCAGAGCACATCGCGCTAACACCTGGGTGTTCCCCCGCGCGAGCCACTTCTCCTAACGCACCGGTGCGATGCGGTGAAGCTCGACGCAAGCGCGCGCCTTTGCGAGGTGGTGAAGGTTGACGGGAGAGGCGATAGCAGCGCCACGGCGTGGAGGCATGCGGCTGAGATAAAGGTCAAGTGACCCTATCAGGGGTACGATACCCTGGTTCTGTCTTATCACAGCAGCAGCCATAATACCACCATTTTATGAATCGTGGCCAGCGTGGTAGAAGAACGAATTTTGGCTACGATGAGTAGACACACCGTGAAATACATATTTCTTATCATTTTCCTTCTTTTCCACTTTTTTTCCCACATTGATGTATACGAATATTAATTTATTTTTTTGCTTTGTGGATAACCTAACCGCGCTGTTAAAACAAAAGATAAGAAAACGAAACTAACTCGACTCGATTAAGTTCATTTATTAAACAAACTTTTGAATCCCCACAAGCACACGAAGATTTCCAACTCTATACCGTGCACCCAATTAGGCAACTCCAAAGGCAGCTAGTGCGAGCAGAAACACCCGCAGAAACCGATCGTTGTAATTCGGAATGGATGGATGGACGCACACGGCTCTCCATCCTTTAAACCCCGCGGCGACTTGCGCCACCTAGCCAACGTTTTTAACAACGGTGAACCTCCAGCTAGCATACAACACATTAAGTTTAAGCCTTTTAATGGTGATACCGTTAAAAAATTACGATCCGTGCGATGGAAGCGACTCCAAGGGAGGCGTCGCCACCCAGCGGAGAAGACGTGAAGGAGAGAAGCTAAAATCGCCTAACCCAGCGTGCAGAGAATACTGCCACGACCTGGCGGCCGAAATGTGAAACGGAGGAAAGAGAATTAAATGCGCTCCGCTGAAGTTGCGAATAGGAATCAAGAGTGCGGAGAAAAGAGAATGACGTATACAGCCACCGCACGCCTTGCTCGAGAAGTTGCAAAACAGCAAAAGCACGAAAGGATAGAAATGCAAAACCACTAGTCCTTATCGCATAGCCCGGCATGGCTTCAACGAGCGGTCAAGTATCCGCGACGAAAAAAACAATATCGCAAAACTTTCTTCTGCCGCCGTCACGCGCATTTTCGTTTCTGGTCGCTTATCTCAGCAGACGTTCGGGCGCTAAAACAACCTACGCCGCAACACTGAGAAGCTTCCCACAAAAAATCACAAACATACAAACAAAAATTATTTTCTGCTTTTTTTTTTTTTTTTAGTTGTGGGTTGGATGTATTACTAGCCATACTCCATCTACGCAGAGACACGAGCCTAAAAGAACCATCCTACCATCACTTCGTTTCAATAATGCCGTTCCCTTAGAAAAAAAAAGGATGCTTGTAGTCTAATTGCTTTGCAAGATAGCCAGGCCAGAGAAACAACACATCTTATTAAAAGTTTTAAAAAAAGTTTCCCCAGATTAAGAAGAAAAAAAAAAAAGCTTGAGGGCTAGCTTTTTCTTAAAATGCGAGCAGAGACAAGCAGAAAAAAAATACATATGTTAAAAAAATTATCTCTGAAAAAATTTAAATATTCCGACGCTATGCAGAGAAACCTGCTATCGGAAACGTTCTCGAAGGGGCACATGTTGAAAAAGAGAAACAAGACATAAAAAATACACAAAAGAACTAATTGGAAACACAAAATTGCGAAGGAACTCTTTAGTTGTTGTTTCCTAACACAAACAACAAAACGCTGACGGGGGAAAAAAAAAAAAAAAAAAAGTCAAGCGATGCTGCCGCCTCAGGTTTTTCTTTCCACACCTCGCAGACCGCTACAACTCATTGTTTCGCACAACCTCTTAGTCTTCGCATTTTTTTTTTCACCTTTATTATTATTATTAGCTCGCCGTTATTATTTATTCATCGCAGCGAGCAACCACCGCAAACGTTCACCCGACCGACTTATCTGCAGTTTTCCGTCGCTACACGCGCAATATTCCCCACAACATCCCAGCCCCGACACACAGCCAGCGGCCGCAAACCGCAATTTCGTAGGGGAGGGTCCGTTGCCCGAGCTATTAAAATTTACCATATACGCTCCATATCGTCTCTATTTCCCCGGCTCTTCTCGGTCCCCTTCCCAACCCCCTCCCCCTTTTACCGTCTCAACCCTACCGTGTAAGCACCACGTGCAATCTAACGCGCCCACAAAAGAAAAACCCAAGCCCCTACAGAGTTCGACCAAGCACAGCTTTACATATTACACCACAGCGACCATCCCCTCCCCCCCAACACGCGCATTCAACATTTTCTCTTCCCTAAACATCGGCCACACACAAAAAAGAAAAAAAGAAAAAAAAGTTAACAATGGAGTTCGGAACGTCCGAAGATAACAAAATACCCCCCCCCCCCCCCCTCATCTAACGAATATCCATCCCAGCCGCAGCAGCGTATGTTCGGCGCGTTAAGAACATGCAAAACATACCCCACCTCCTCCCCCACTTCTCCCGTTTGGTCTTCACCGATAAAACTTGTCTATATAAATTACCCCTTTCTTCCTGCTCTCCTTTTTTTTTTTTTCCGAGGAGAACCACCAACCCTGAAACAGTTTCGCACTTTGGGAACTGGATATCTTATGTGCGTTACTTTTTTCTCCCTATTTGTTCCCTTTTATTCCACCCTTTTTTACATTCTTCTTATTGTTTGTTATCATTGGCGTTCCGCGTTTCCGAAAGGAGGGCTGTTTTTGTCGAAGTTAGTAACGACAATTTCGCTACACCTCGCGGTCGCCGCCGCCGACGCTGATTGGTTGAAAAAAAGGTAGGGAACGTAAGGGAAGCAAGGGACCTTATCCGACTTCGCCGTCTGCTCGTTCGAAGGGACTAGGACAATAATAACCCGACCCGCTCGTGCGCGCGCGCCGCCGCAACGCCAACTCCCTGCTACTTAACAAAAAAAGAAGAAAAATAAAAAAAAAAACGGGACCGCAAGATAAAGGCGAAGACGATTTCTCGGCCTCCCTATTATTATTGTTATTACACCTCATTCCCCAAAAAGCCGGTAGTCGTCGCCACCGTCGTCGTCTGCTATCGAAAAACGACGGCGCCGTTTTGAGAGCATGTCGAGAGCGTGCCAGCGCCGACGGCTAAGGAGGTGCAAAAGAACCGCTACCCCCCCAAGAAAGCACAGAAGGATGAATAACCAAAGAAACCGGGTAATAAAAGAGGTACCCAGAGCTGCTGCAGCGTCTTTGCCCTTTCTTCGAATGCTCTCACTCCGCCGCTTTTGTATGTTCGGGTTTTGTCCGCGCCACTATGCAGATTTCGGTGGCTGCGGTGTGTGTGTGTCTGTGGGGGGAGGAGGGGGGGGGGGGGGCTGTACTAACGAACCATTCGGGGTGCGGGGTGGGGCGATGTAAGAAAACATTGACTCGAAGCCCCCGAGAAAAAGATAGGGCGCTCAATTTCTTCCCCTTTTTTTCTTCTTCTTTCGTTTCTTGTGGCAACAACCGCCGAAACACGCTACAACCCGACTCATATTAGGGCTTCTTGAGACCCCATACCAACCCTCCCCCTCGAAGGCGCGTACGTACGATTTCGCCCGGTGCCGATTTCAATTTTTCGGCGGCGAGCGCTCGTTGCTTTCGGATTGGATTGCCAAGGTTGCGCTCGTTCTCTGGGGGAGGGGGGCCTGCTCGTACACGATCTTTTGTCAGGTTTCCCCTTTTTTCTTTCTTTCCCCATTTTCGCGGAACTTCTCTCCCCAAATGGGCAAAGAAACGAACAAGTCGGAAGGGCGCGAGAGATAAGAACATCCCCGTTTTGCCGCCATTTCAAACGCGTTCTCAACTAAAAAAAAAAAGTTAAAATGAAAATTTAGGGAAGAACGATGTACAATTCGAGCGCCTACAACGTATCTCGAGGGCTTCGAATATCTCACTTTCTCCGTGTCCCTATTTCCCCCCAACTGCCACCGGCAGCGCAAAGGCGGGCGCGGTTACAATTTAAATATTTCTGCAAGATTTCGGCCCGTAATCTAGACTGAACCAACACCGCACCCCCGAAATTACTTCTTACAACCTGCCCGCTTCCCCGCCTCGCGCGCTCGTAATAAATCCTTAAAAGAAAAAAATAAATATAGAAAAAAAAAAAAAAAACTGTAAACGATCTAATAGCGAGAGGTTTTAATGAAATAAAGATTCGAACTCGAATTCGAGACTACGCAAGATCTCGGAGATGTCAGAGGAGGAAACAGCAGTCATGACGAAGCAATTGGAGAACTCCATCCTAATTCTGACTCTGCCAGACGAACTTCAGGTCTTATCACCGCACCTGCCCCGAATTCTCTATCTCATTTTCATTCCGAGCGTTGCAGCGCTTCTTTCCTTTTCATGTGCATAATGCCGTAAGAACTAAACTCGAGTCATCGATATGTCACGTGAGAGCCCAACTAGCGGTTAGGCTCGTAGAAAGAGAAAATAAAAAGCCAAATCAGCCCTCGTGGCTCACCTTGCCCGCTACACCCTGCTGCGTGCGGTGAAGCACCCTTTCGGGCGAAGAACCGCGAGCAAACCGGCTTCATTTTTTCATCTTCCAAATCACCGCGCAAGTTTGAAACATCGACTTAAACTAACGACCCACGTATACCACCGACCTAAACATTGGCCGAAAAGAACAGCCGCTAAGAAACACACAGATAAAAAAGAAAAACGACAATATAAAGAAATTAAAGCGCACGTCGACAGCAGCCACCACAAACACCGAAAACGTATCCCAGGGACTATTCTTCCGAGACTTAGAAAAACGGGTGAAGAAAAGAAAAAAAAAAAAAAAATGGAAAAGAAACCGCAAATAGGCAATCGTTCCAAGCGAGAGAAAGAACGCACAAAACCATGCAAATTCGGCTCCGCGCACAATGCGAGCGGGAAAGCCGATACAACGCAGGCACATCTTCACCTCCTTCCCTAAAAATTCAAAGCGAAAGTGACGCGAGCGCGGGACGAGTCATTAAAGCGCGTCGAATTTCACAGTTCCCAATCCGGGCCGCTTCGCCCATCCTCCCCATACCCTGCTTCGAACCACGCTCCGAACATCCCCAAACACTCCCCCAAAACTTGGGGCTCCCTAACTCTATTTCCCTCCGCCAGGGGCCCCCACTTTTCAGTCACCGGAAAGCTACCGCCAACGCCACCCCGCTGGGTGCCGTAGTTTCGGTTTTGTCTCTTTCGTAAATAGACTCGCATTTTTGTATCACTCCTTACAATGAATAAAGAAATACATTTTAAGTAAAACCAAGGAAAGATTGAAAGTTCACCCCAAGCTACGAGTTCTTTCCCAAAAAGGGGAAAAATGCGACTAAAATGGGGAAACACGAAGGGGAAAAAAACGCGAAGGAAGCGTTTGTGTTGTTAATACGATCCCAGCGATTCGGCTTACTGTTGTGTTCCGCGTTTCCCCTTTCGCCAACTCCAGTTTCCTTTACACATTTTACTTTCCGGTTTGTGCGCCTCCAAAACAGCCAGCCCGTGTATAGAGCCGCCGCAAAGAACCATTCGCGGGCGCGGTTTACCCTGAATGCGAGTGCCACAGGCATCCATCTCTATCTCGTCGTAGGGAGTCTCTACAAATATATACCAACCCAACATGATCATCATCACCAAAAAGAACGAATAGCTGATGACGACACCACGCGATCCACATCTTTATCAGCCGCTACTACCCCCCTCCCCCTTCTACCCTATCCCCCCTTCTGCTTTAGTTTTATTTATTCTAGCTATCTGTTCCTTTAGAGCGCGGCATTACTGCGGTTTTCAATTCGAACAGCGCTGGTTTTGTGCCGGGAAACCCTGAATTCGTGAAGTCGTTCCTTGTCGATCTAGTTGGTGCTATTCCCCACCCCCCTTCCCCCCTCTATCCCGAGCGATGCATCTATTTCGCGCTACGTTTGCTCACGCACAATGCCCTGGGTTTCGCTCGCGGTTATTCGCCTCGCATCTCTTTCTATTCATCTGCAAGATTCAGGAGGGTAGTATACCAATCTAGGCTGGCTCCCGCCGCCCTCCAAGACCGGCGCGTGGATCTTGGTTAAGATACGACGCCGAGGCACAGGCAGCCACTACGCATGCGTCATAAAACTTACTACATGGTTCCTAGAAGAGCCCGTCTGAAGGTACTGTCAGGCTGATGTGTGCTTGTCTTGTCTAGATGCACTACATCACTCCTAAGGCGGTTAGTAGAAGATAGAAGCATGCTTGTCTCTATAAGGTGTAGAAATGCACAAAATAGCAAATAGCTTAACTACAAAGTAATCTGGACAACTAGCCAACTGATGTGTGGCAGAATTGGAAGATCTTCAGTCACCCAAGACATGGTGACAGCATTGATTATGACCAGAACCTGATGACACGTGAAGAATGGTGAAGAGCAGAAGTAAGCAAAGATCTCGTGACAACCCGCATATGGCAACATGATGGCGAGATGTGACTAGGATTTGATGCCCATCTTCCATGAGGCACACATAACAGGTAAATCGGGTTAAAATATTCAAACACTTTATTACTGTGCTCTGGAGGTAATGAAAGTATTGAAAACACATTGTACCATTTTTTGTGACAAATATGCTATTGGTTACAAGAATGCCTAGTCTTCAGGCCATACAACATCAAAACACATGACCTCAAGTCACGACATGATCTAGCAAGTTGCTTGGACTGTAGAATGTTTTGGAGACATCAGGCATTCTAATAAAGAAAATAAAATTTTCATTCACTTGTTTGTACAACCACACACGCACTATCAAGAAACCTTGTTTCTTCGAGTATCTGTCCAGAAAAGACATAGACCCAGTTTGGCTTCAGGCCATGCTGACAAAACATGGAACCAACAGCGTAAAGCCTCTGAGATGGCCAGTAACAAGGCCCAACTAGCGCTGTGCATAGATCCCATGTCTGTACCGTCTAGATGTGATTGGCCAAACAGAAATCAACCGAATCACACTCATTGAAATTGTGTGCTGAATAAGTGGAACATTACCTTGTTCGGTCGGCAAACGGGCAACTGGTAGTAGTGATAGGTCTCATGAGGGTTGAAGTACGGCCCAACCTTGTTCACATAAAGCATTACCTGCATCCAAACAGCAACAGAACACTTGGCTCAAAGAAAACCAGGATAGCACATTTTGTTTCTTTATCAATGAAAATAAATAAAAGCTACCTACAACCATGATTCAAGATAAACAGTTGGTCATATTTTCATCAACGGCTCTATGTGGGGAGATGGCAGATGAGCGCAGGACATACATGGAATTAATCTATAATATTTGGATGTGCTTGTTGAAAGCAAAAAGGTTGTTTTTCTTTTCATAATAATTTGCAGAAGTACAACTCACAGGTGCAATATATGGACGGCCCTATAACACTTAAAATTTTTTTAAACACAAAAACAAAAATTGGCAGGGACCTTTACCTTCAAAGTTTTTTAATGCATGAAATGCATTACAGGGAATTGGTGTGTCACATGACATATATTTTCTTGCTACATTTAGCAGGTCACGTGACGTCGCGTTACCCCGCTAGATTTAGCAGGGAAACTGGATTGGTGTTTTGGTCACAGGACGGGAATTTTGCCGCTAAATTTAGCAGGCAACTGAATTGGCGTATGGGTCACGTGACGTCAATTTCCCCCTAAATTTGGTGGGGAAACTGAATTGGTGTTGTGGCTACAAAACGTGAATTCTCCCGCTAAATCTAGAGGGAAAACTGAATTGACACATAAGTCACGTGCCGTATATTTTCCCAAGGTGTAAGGGTCACATGACACCACTTTCCCGACTAAATTTAGCGAAAAATGAACGGACAGATAACATTTTTCTGGATAAGGAAGAGCGTTAAAAAGCATTTCATGCTTTAATATGGCAGCACATTAACACAACCTTCAAACACTGGCACCTAAATCTAACATTTGTTTTGGATTAAGTGCAGGGATTTCGTTTAAAATTGATACTACTTCCAATACCCTGTCTAAAGACTCGCATCCAATTTGCTTTTTTTTGGTCCTTCCAACTGCGATGGCAGCAGAAAAGTCTGTCAATTAACCTCACTTTTGCAATTTTATATTAAAATAGCCTTTAGAGAGGTTGTTCACCAAACAGCTCTCTCTATTTTTTTTTTTTTTTTAACAGCACATAAGTGAGCAGCAACTTGGGTTTACGGCCAGAAAGTTACGTGGAAACCAGTCTCCTTTATCTCTTAGAAAAGTTGGGATACAGGCCAGGTGGATGCTATTGATACCGATTTTAAGAAGGTATTCGGCCTGGTAACTAAGTCACTTGACTTACTCTACAGGGGATGTCGCCTTTACTATATGCCGCCCAGCTAAAAGGCTCCAATCGTGCCCGGTCTCGAACAATGATTACCAGTTGGAAGTCTATGGATGTTTGGGTGGGTTTGACAAAGGTCCCAATCTTCCCCCCCCCCCCCCCCCCCCCCTTTCATTTTTAAATGTCTGCGATTGACACCATGTCAGCTATAAAGCATTCCTGTTTGTTACGATTTCCACATGACATCAAATCGTTTAGAAGAATTGACACAGCTGGTGAATATTTTTTCAGGCGAGGCATATCACAAAAATAAACACGTGCAAATAATTAACTTTGCCTTGATCCAAAGAAACAAAGTGATCAAATTTATTTGGAAAGAAGAAAGCACTTGTTAGTAACGTGTTTTCATGTCTTGCCATTCATCAATTAAATGACTACATGCATTAAAATCAACAGAGCATTTCAGCTTCTTATTGCTCAGTAGCATTTTGGAACACTGATTCTTGTTCTGCTTCGTAGACATTTCTTAATGCATCAGATAGTGGATCAGCTCAAAGATGCGGAGATACATTGCATCTATATAACACTTGACTGGTATTTCTAAGAGCAGTTTTCATACATTGAAATAAACCTTAGTCAAAGTTGATTTTTTTTAAGCTTTGTAATCAGACAGCTGCACGGGTGATTTGTATAACTCATGCAGATGTTTGCAAGGACGTAGCACACATTTTTCTTCATATTATGAGGCTGGCAGCACGAGACCATCGCTTATTAAACACATGCAAGAATGCCATAATCTGTGTAGTAATGCAAACTCATCAATAGCAAAAAAGGAAAAAAACGCTCAGGAATTAGACAAAAATTTTGCTCACATTAGTGAGCTTTTTTTTACACCGTGCCTTTTCCTGCGGTCACACTACCTTTTCTGTGTGTTTCACTTTATCATTTTTATTATTTATAAGCATCAAGCAGCTGTCTTTTAAACCTTTCTATGCAATTAGCCCCACTGCCTGAGAATATGCCACAGCACAAAATACGCCTGCCAGCTGTTTGACGTCACCGCAGTACTAACAACTCGAAGGACCAATGGGAAACACCGCAGAGTGGCACAAGTCCACTTCACGAGACTAATTATGTCTCGCACTTTCATGCTTGGACACGCTTCATATTTCCAGCAGAGTTACATTGCTACGGGCTCATTTCAGATCTCTATTTATCCCTAACTTAAACCCAACTTAGCACCGATGCAGCAATGTATCATCAATACAATGCAAAACCAGCACTGATGCAGCAAGATCAGTGCTATTTCTAGTGTTGACAAAAAGCTCTAAGGTAGCGCCGTGGTGTACGGATGAATAGGCCTGTAAGGATCGATCCAGCTATGGTTTTGTGAAAGGTGCGATGCCAACCAATGATAACTAGAAGTCGAGAACTTTGATCAAACGGGATATGGCTGATCAGTGCCCCTTCCCAATCTGCCACACGGCTAGGGCAGCGAGAACACGGCCGTCATTTTATGGGAGCCAAGCGCCGTCGTTCCGTCGACTCGACGGGTGTGTTAAAAAAAGATCTACGGTAGTTCGGGGGTTGTAGAAACAAAACCCGTTCGAGAGACAATGGGAGGCAGGCAAAAAGAAGTTAAAAACAGGGGACGGTCAGGCAACTGCCTGCACGTGCGCACACAAAGCTCCCACTCAATGCTTGGCACGAACGAGCGGAACTCCGTGTCCTTTGTTGAGGGGCCTTTATAACCCGAAAAACCCATCCAGGCTCAGACTCCGGGAAAAATAAAGAACCCCCATCACTGCAACTTCAAACTGCCGGAAGAAAAGCCTCCCCCTCCCACTTGTTCATTTTCATGCCTGCAGTTGGATTGTATTTTATGAGCACGATCATAACGAAAAACTCGAGGCAGCTCGAGCGATCACAAAGGTGCGAAAAACTGCCACGGCTTGCTGCAGGGAACAATTCTGACGCCGCTCGTAAGTAAAATCCAGCCGGCTGCAGGTGTGATGTGTCGCGCGAGGCTTTGTCTGCCTTGGCAGTTCGCTTTAAGCCCGGTGTAAATTGCTCCTCCCAGGCTCATCTAGGCAGGTAAGCAGGGTCCCCCTTTTTGCTGGAGGTGAGGCGGGCAGGTGTCTTCGAAGCTGTAAATATTTTTTTCTGACGTCTCCAAACGGCAACATCGGCGAGGAGAGACTGACGTGGGTGATGCCATTTCGCGAGCTGACTGCCGAAAAGGAATTAATAATGATGATAAAATGTCGCGTAAAAAAGTGGAGCTCCATATTTGTGTCGCTGGATGGGGGAGGGGGGTTGGATTTAGGAAAGGCGCGCACGTGCGGCTTCCGTGGGAGCGCTTGCGGTGAACGGTTGGGAATAGCTGCTGAAATCGTAACGGTGGCTTTTAGTGAGAGCAGTTCTGCGGAAAACTGGCGCAATTAATAAGGCCACAAATGAGTTGTAAGACGGCCGCCTGTCTCTGTGGAAAAATCTCTTCGCAGGAGCGCTTGCGTGGATTTACGACTTGGAAATTTAAAAAGCGGTGTGCCAGCGGCGCCAACGTCGGAAAGAAATCTAGTCTGAAGATCCCCCACCGAATTACAAACCTCTAAAAAAGAAGAAAAGAAAAAGAATGAATGAGTGTTTAATAGGAAAAAAGAAAACACGAAAATTAATTAAGAACTTTTGACGTCGTGCCGCCGCTGTAAAACGCAGGACACGACAACCGGTTTTAGGCTAGTTTTTATCTGCTATAAAAGCAACAACGGCGCAAGCATCAAATTGTATTTGTTATTCATTCCTGAGACGAAGTAATTCAATCAATACAAATCGGCTTCGTGATTCGGCGTTCAAACTCGTACTAATATCAAGTGTAGCGTTTGTTTTTCTGCGTTACGTTTTGGCAGAAGGTATCACCTAGAGTCCTAGACGAACCAGCACTTTGGCCACCGATTCAAGGCGTCTAGGTCACCAAAATGTCGTAAAATAACAAAAATCAACAAAGAAAAAAAACAACAAAAAAACGAAGTCGTAGCAGAGAACACCGCTGACTGTGCTCCGAGCCGCTTGCGACTACGAAAATACTAGGCCTAAACACACAGACGTGGCTCTTTATCGGAGCTTAAGATGAGATTAGAATCGTAGCGTACCTTATCTCCATCCTTAAATGCTCCCGTAACGGCCAGTCCAGAACAAATAAAAAACAATGTCACCACATCACGCAGCATCGTAGGATACTACACCGAGATTCTCACTTTTGCCTTCGGACACCGCGAAACACAGCTGAGCGGCTATGAGCGAGGGCAAGACATCATATGTATCCCTCCGCGCAATTCGAACCAAAATATATTATATATTGTCTAAATATACTACCATAAAATAGTAAATAAACTTTAAATTTCATAAAGTGTAGTTACAAACAAAGTTAGGAGGTTTGGGGGTTGTTGAGAGAGTATTGACGAGGAACTATTTTCTTGCGAGGAGGAGAAGTGAACATGTCGGCCTGAGGCAGGAGTGGCGGTGTGTCGGAGAACTCATATTTGCTCAGAATGGACTTCCAGTCGGCCATGGAAACTTTTGCCGAAGCCTGGGTCGCCGCAAACACACAGACGCCACTCACAGAGGCCGCCGAAGCACAGGTAAGTCCATCTTACACCCGATCTCCACTCCCGATTTCGGGTTTGGAGTGCGCGAGGTAGCCATGCCGCAGAAAGCACCTTGGACATTTCGTTCACATCCGCTCCCACGAATCGCTCCTTTTCTTTTGTTAAGCCCCTTATTAAGCGGGATCACTCGTATAAGTCGAGTTCCTCCGTGATCTCAGCCTGGTTAGACACCGATCTCGCGATTGTCCGCGATCTCGGTGGGCGCTAAGCCGGCCGCGAACCGAGAATGACAGTCCGTTCGTCACAGTGGTGACATTACCGAGTTGTAGGCGTGCTGCATTTTTTGCTGGCCTTCCCTTGAATGACATTTGCACGACCGGATAGGCCCCACTCGGCTCTCCTAATCGGCCTCCGAGTGGATTCCAAGCCATCGATCGCGGTTTTAAGGGCTGCAGTCGAAGCTCGCGACGAGTTGGGGGACGTAAACATCCAACACGAAACATCTCGGCGGGACCTTATTTACATGGGCACAAGACGCGCCGGGACCCGTTTAAGATATCGATCACTCGTAATCGCCACTTGGGTCTGTTGTGTGCTGCCTTGCTAGAGTCACACGGATTAAGGCGGAGGAGATTGGCGCGGCATTGATTTTTGAGTTTTCTTGGCGTCTGATCGGCGAACAGTGTTCCTCGAGAAACGCCGAGGCCACGTCCGTTCAGGGGTGGACCGCAATCGCCACTTTTTTGTTGTTGCTTTTGGGGGCCTGTTTTCAGCATCGATCGCTGCTCTCGTTTTAAAGGGATCATCCGTCAATTTGAGTTCGACTTACGGTTTATTGGGAAAACGTTTTCCAACTGCGATTAGTAGGGAAGTCTCGGAGCGGGCATAGTCGAGGTTGGTTCGCGAGTTTTGGGGGGGTGCAGCTCGTGTGTTCCGGCGACTGGCCGCCGGCCGTCCCGTCGGAAATGTGTTGTTGGCTAAATATGGGTCGGATATTTTTGTTTTATCTCCACTTTTTTGTTTTCAACATTGAGTGACGGTTACTTTTTTGTGGTGTGAATTCCGTGAGCTATTTTTGTTTGCCCGTTTGTGCACGTGCCTACGTACTGAGTTGTCGATTTTGAAACTTTGAGATGCAGCGGGCTTGATTATGGCGAATCTGGATTTTGTTTTTGATAGTGTATTAGGTGGCTGCAATAAAATTTGCTGATACATTTTTTGACTATGGAAGGGTGAGGCCTCCTTCTTGCGGTCACTTTGTTTTGATGGCAGAGTAGTTTTTGATCTATGGGATTTCTTTCTTTCTTTTCCAGCGAATTGTTTTATGAGACAGCTTTCTTTCTGGCTGCCAGATAGGTGGGGGCATATTTTTCTGCTTCCCATCACATGGGCCCCAAAAGAACCTAGGTATTCATTCAGACATATGGTGCTGATGTTATTCCTATAGTTGAGGCAACATTTCTAGAACGACTAAGTTGGGAAACTGCTATAGAGCCTTCTTTGAAAAAGTGCCTCCGATCCGTACTCGAGAACCGCACTAGAGGCGATCGCAACGCCACCATTTCTCCCGCAGCGGCCACTCCGGGAACTGCACCGCTGGCGCCATCTCGCAGTGCCATTTATTTCATAGTAGCTATATAAGTCAACTTTCATGTTCTGACTCATCACTAAAGCACGGCGCTATTACAGTATCCAGTTTGGTCTTGGTGGACGAGAGTGGTCCAGGTTTCAAGGATGAGTTTCCCAACTGAGTGTTGTAGTAACGTTGGGCCAAGGTGAAATGCCTCTAGCCAAACTTAACAACATTCATTGTACAAACTTCAAAGTGGCTACTTGTTGAAACCGATCGCTACTCCAAGGGAAGCAATGCCACCCAGCGGGAAAGACATGAATGGGAGATACGGGGAGCTGCTGCCGATCGAGGTGTGCACTGAAACTGGTGCAGCTTGGTGGCTGAAATATGAAGTGGAGGAAATGGGATTAAATCCCAGAGGTTGGAGTTGTGAATAAAGTTTATGCTACTTGGTATGCATTCAATGAAACTGTTCTAGCTATTGTTCATTGGAATGAACCATGATTTCACAGCCACTCTTACAATGCCTGTGTTTTCTCAAGACACAGCATGTACTTAGGATTACTTTGCTCTCGATTAAAATGTTGGGCCGTGACTGGACGTTCCTGAAACTGTACTTGGGACCTATGTCATCTGACTTACAGAATGTTAGGCTACTTAAGGCATCACAATATGCATGACGAATGAGAACGCCACTGTGATTGTAAAAGCTGAACCAAAGTTTTGTGCTTCGTAACTGACAGCTTGCTAGTTTGCGACTTTAGTTGACAGTGATACTGAAACTGTTCACAAACTTCCAATTAAGATAATGAAGTATCTCAAGGGGACCTTAATTACCCACACATGTTGACTCTCTTAGTTCCTCGTAAGAGCCTGGTTCATGGCCAAGCATATACCTTGTTTATACTTCTTAAAAAGTTGCAAACGCCAGCTTATACCACTTTCACATCCTTCTATACTCTGTTCACCCCTAAGCTCAGACTGTGGTGAAACTACCTCGTCGTTGGACTAGTCATATGCCTCTCTTTCGCCATGTCATCACGCTCCCGCCCATACGCACGCACAGAGAGCTGTGGCGGGTCATAGAGGGAGGCGGCTGATTGGTCCAGCAGGCATGTAGCTCCCACTGCAGCCTCAGCTTTGGGGTGAACGGAGTATAGAAGATGTACAGTAAGGTAACCCACTAAAATATCTTGCTGAACTTCTGTCTCCACTTTTAGCCATTTGCATGCCTTGGGAAGCCTGCCTTATTCTTGTTTTTTTCGACTGCCCTCAAAAGTTGTAAGCACAAGCTTTTTTTATCCGGAGGAAGGTCCACCTGCACATTTGATTGTTCTGTGGGAGCACTTCAGGAGGGCGCAGCTTCGCGCAATAGTTTTGAAGCGCCAAGAATGCGTACGTCAATGACACTGTCAAACTTACCTTTGATAGTGAATGAGCTAACTTCGGGAATCATAAACGTCCCAAAGACTGGCCTCCTCACTCCTTTTTACCTTTTCCTCGACCCGTGCAGAGCCTGACCATGACCCCCAGCGGAGTCGCGCCCACGGGAGGAGGGGGTGGAGGAGGGGGAGGGGGTGGTCCCAGCAGTGGAGGAGGGGGATCCGGGGCAGGGGGGACGGGGGCTGGCAGCACCCCCACGCCTCCGGCAACGCTGGCCCACGGATCCCCCGAAGAACAGGACCGCAGCAGCAGTTGCGAAGCACCAGCACCTGTCGCCAGGCCAGCTACAACACTCACCGGTAAGTGGACCATTGCTTGTTCTCTCTCTCTCTCTTTTGTGTACAGGCCCCGAACTACACAGCAAGGGGCCGCCGGACCGATTGGACGAACCACACTCTAGCCGTTTACGTGATTGACGTCTGGTACTTCTTTCTGAGTCCGTCACATGTACAGAACTCGAAGGTCGCACTTTCCACATTTGCTCGCTTCTCTCTCTCCTCGCCACTTCTTCCAGTTTGGAAGAGAAGGAAATCGGGAGAATGTTCTGCATCGCAGGAAACTGAAGTTGTGCGTCGGCCTTTAGTCACGAGAATCTGTCGAAAAGCCCGGTTTTAGTTTGGTTCCCCCGCCGGACTCACAAGAATGTGGGATTGTGCTAGCCCCACATATTGTTTTCAGTTTTCTGCGTCAGTGGAAAGTGGCAGCTTCTTGCATATGTGGATGATCGAGCTGTAACATTGCGCCTAGCTAAGAAAGCTAGGGTTACTCAATGTGTCACAGATTTCATTAGGCGTTCCTCTCATACTACAGTCACCTGGATAGGTGACTGTAATTTATGGGTAGTGCCAATACCTCTTGGAATACCTGCAACTGCTCCAGAGTGCTGTTGTGATAACAGCAAAATCACTGCCAGTCTGGATCCAAGAACCAGTCATGTTTCTTAACAGGCTTCCATAATCTAATCACTCATCACAATGAATGTATCAGCAAGCCTGTGAACTGTGCTGGGAAAGTAGCAGTGTAGCTTCCCAAGGAAGAAATCAAAGCTTAACATTTTACCTTCACCCTATAGTTAAGGTAAACAGGAACCTTTACGTTCATACCTTTACCTCATAGTCACGAGCAGTTCTCTGATCCAGTCACCAGTACTGGCTGTGGAACTGCCAAATGAACATAGATGCTGTGGATGTCACACTGCATTTAATGTCATGGGAGGTGAGCAAAGGTAACAAGATACGGAACACTAAAAGCTTGTGGGGACCATGAAACAGAAGATGATGGACAATCCTTGTCCTTCTCATGCGATCCCCAGGACCTCATCATAAATTCCCTGTGACTGCTGAGGTGCCTCAAGGAGAGGCAGAGGTTTCTCTTTTCTTTTTTTTTGCTACTTCTGAGCATTATACCTTCATCTATCATGTTCCTGCTAGCCTGGCTAAGCAGATTATCCCTCACCAACAGATAATCCTTGCCTTGTTTTTTTCACCACCACATCTCCATCTGTGACCCTTCATTCAGGGAAAAGCATTAAGCGTTTGAGAAGGAAGAGAAATGCGAGCCTCGTAAATCTTTTTCCTACAGAAACCGTAACGTGAAAATACAAATTGATACCTGTTCCATGCCTTACACATGTGAGAGGTTCATTGAGAGCATTGAATAGCCAAAGTAAGAAGAAAATGTTGCGTGGTCCC